AAGGGGGCCTATCGGAAAGGGGGGGGATTGCGTGTTATCGCTTCTCACTGTTCTTTGGGAGCGATTTCCGGGTTAAAGTAGAAATTTTGAGGAAGACCAGGGGGTACGGGGGCGGAGAATCTGATTTCAGCGCGTGAAGAGAGGCTGGAAAAAAATGGGAAGAGTCTTGGGAAAGACCCCTAGGACGGTTGTATGGGGCCGCGGGGAGCGACTCGCCCCACCTGCCCTTTAAAGATAGTTACCAGGCCTTTAAAGATGGTTAAAAGGATTTAAAAATAATTAAAAGGCGCTTAAAGATAGTTTGAAGGCTTTAAAGATAAATAAAAGGCCTTTAAAGATAGTTTAAAGGCTTGTTAATAGGTATGGAGGGGGGGGGGTGTGGGGGAGGGTGCTGGTAAGATAAATAGGGAGCTTCGTAAAGGTTCTCTCTCACTCAATGGAACAAGAGGTAGACCAGACTCATCCCGTGCACCTGCCATCTTCGCCTTCTCAAGCCTTTGACCCCGAACAATGCTCCACAACCAGGCACCATGGACCACCTCATGGCTTCCCTCCTTATTGATCCATACGTTGCCCAAAAATGTGGTCAGAACAACGCTTAGCCACATGATGAGAACCAAGGCAATGAATCCCCACAGGATTCCCCCGTCTTGGGGTCAGCATGATTGATCCCGCTTCTGTTGTTGAACACAGTCGACATGATGGTCAAGGCAATCGTACCTCCAAAAGGAACAGCAAACGTGACAATGCAGGTGATGGCAGCTGTCATGTGTGGAAAATATGCCAGTCCATGCAACGATCCGGGGTTTGTGTTTGTGCCCACGCCGAACCCGGCAAGTGCCATCATGCCGTAGACGACGCTGGTTTTCTCGGTCCAACACGCATAAGGCAGAACGGAGATTGCAACTGCTGAAGTGACCGTTCCCAGCAAAAACGCAGGCAAGGTTTGGCGAGGCCAGACATTGATCCAGAACATGGCCATGTACACGCCAGCTGCAACTGCTTCTTAGCATAACCCCACTGGGATGGTTGAAGATTGCAACTCACCTCCCATCCCAGGCAGAAAATACAGCAAAGCCAACCCAGCACCACTCGAATCATGCCCCATGACCTCGACAAAGTAAATGTCCATGAAGTACATCACCGAGTACATCGCCGCAACAGCAACCCGATATCCTTCCGCACCAGCAACCCCCAAGGCATCATCGCTCTCTGCCTCGGAAACACTCTGGCCAGTTTCCTCCCTGGCACCATCGCCCACCGATATCCCACCCACCCAACCGTCAACACCCCTCCAGCCACCAACGGCACAACCACAGCAACAGACCCCCATGCATACTCCCCTCCCGCCCACGTAAGTCCCAAAATCAACAGCCCCATCCCCGAAAGAAACAACACCTACCCCCCATAATCTATCGTGCCCATCCTCCTCCCCAACTTGACCAACCTCGTCGCCTCGTCGCCAGCACCGTCTCCATCCCCCACCCCCACAGCACCAACTAATTCCCCCTCAAACCCCACCAAACAACCCCCATCCCCACCGCTCCAACCGGTACATTAACCCCAAAGCACCACCTCCACCCCTCCCTCCCCCGACTCAGAAACCCACCTACCACAGGCCCAACCCTAAACCCAACAGCAGTAAACACCGCGAAGAGGGTCCAGGTCTTGGCGTACTCAGCCAGGCTTACTCTGTCAGCCAGTATAGTCCTGACACAAACACTCATACCCGCCGCTCCCACCCCCTGCACCCCTCTTCCGAATAACATCACTCCCCATCCCGCAGAGGAGGCCAAAGGGGAAGCGGCGCATATTGCCGAGCCGACCGTCAGGATGAGAATGGAAAGCTGAAGGGAGGGATACCGGCCGAAAATGTCGACGAGCTGGGCCCAGAGGGGGAGGAAGGAAGCGGAGGGGAGGTTGAAGGAGGTGGTGAGCCAGTTTAGTTGGGATTTTTGGTCTGGCATCAGGGTCAGGTGTTGCCATGGAGATGGGGGATGGTCGGGGGGGTTGGAGGGGACAAACCAAAGTCTGAAACTATGGAGGGCAAGGCAGAGGCGATGATTGTCGTGTCGAGTGCTTGGAGGGTGTAAGGGGGGAGGAGGAAACATGGCTGGATGAACTCCGCTGAGGAGGGAGGTTGTCCACGATGCTGGCGGTATTTCTTCTTGGCGTATCGAACTGCTAGATACATTTTCTCGGGTCGAAGAATCTTTCGAGGTTTGAGTTGGCGACAGTGAAGGTTTGTGAAGAAGGAGGCCCTATGGTCACGACGGCTCTTCAAGGTAAGCGGCAGGTTGGTCTTCACAGTAGAATGGGAGACCTCGCATCTTAAATACATGTCCTTCACGCCCGTCTGAGAAGCTAAAACCCTGCTCTACTATAACTATAAACATCAGAGGCCTCAGCATGACATAATGTTCGACCTTGGTATCCCAGGGAGAGGCGCAATACCTGTTTGGGAAACATCGAGACCGTTGATTGGCCAATGCAATGAGACCTATGGGTCTTTCCTTGGAAGCATGGCTCAGGTTCGTCGGTTTGTTCGGGTTTGGTGCCAAGGCCTACAGTCAGCTCGGCTGAGCCCAACTGGTTGACCATGATGACTGCTTGGGGCTGGTTGGTAAGGCAAAGATCTTCACAGTATCTCATATCCGGCAAAGTCATGGACTTGGCAACAAATTGTTCAGTATTGGAGCTTGTCAAGTCTTGTCTGTAAACTCCAGACTACTATCAACGCCTAGCTCCATGCAAAATGTCTATCGAATGACGAAAAGGAGACAACCGACACGGAGCAGAGAATTTTGATGCCCATGTCTCACCGGCATATACTTCATAAACCCCCCTTCTTCCCTCCCAAACCATACTGCAACGCCAAATTCTCAACGCACGAGACCCTTGTTATTTCTTAACCCGAGATAAAAACGCAAAGCCAACTTTTTGAACCCGACCATCCACCAGAACCTACCCCCAATCACTGTTGCGGCTGTTCCGTCTCCTCATCACCCGTCACAGCACAAACAGCATCGTGCACCACCTCGGCGCCGTTGTTGGCCACTTCGGCAACACCCTCAGCGGCGCTCTTAATCGCCCGTCTGGTGGTCTGCTCAGCCTGTTGCTCCTCAAAAGTTGGAATCCTAGTCAACTCCGTCACGAAGCTCTGGCCCCACCAAGCGCTAGTGTACTTGAACACATATCGCTCCAGCTTGCGGTAGTTAGCCTCGCGCTGTTCGGGGCTCATGGTGACGGCGTCGTGGATGGCGTTGGCCAGCTCTTCCGTGTTCCAGGGATTGACGATCAGACTTCCATTAAGACTCTGAGCGGCTCCAGTAAACTCGGACAGGATCATGACTCCGTGACGCTCTCTCTGTGTGGCGATGTATTCGTATGACACCAGGTTCATGCCGTCGCGGGTGGAGCTGACCAGGCAGACATCGCTGACAGCGTAGAGTGCCGTGAGCTCATCAAACGAGACGGACTGGTGGAGGAAGTGGATGGGCATGAACTCAATCGTGCCAAACCTCCCGTTGATGCGGCCCACAAGCTCATTAACGACGGCTCGCAAGTTCTGGTATTCCTCCACATCTTGACGACTTGGCACCGCCACCTGCACCAGAACAATCTTGCCGATCCACTCGGGATGTTCGGTCAGGAACACCTCCAACGCGTGGAGTTTTTGGGGGACACCCTTGATGTAGTCAAGGCGATCCACACCAACGATGAGCTTGACGCCCTCGAACTTGCGTTTCAAGGCGGCGATACGCGCTTGAACACTCGGCTTCTTCAAGCCTTCAACAAACTTCTCGGGGTCGATGCCGATTGGGAAAGCGCCGACGGTAACGAACCTGCCATTCCAGTCAACCCCGTTAGGTGTTGTTGGAGTAGACCTGAATGTGTTAGCATGATGGCTTCATGAGAAAGCGGTGGAAAGCACTCACAATATCCTCGAGCAACTGCTCAAGAAATGTCTGGCATAATCGTAGGTGTGGAAGCCGATCAAGTCGCATTCCAAGATCCCGAGTAACAGTTGCTCTCTGACCGGGAGAATGCGATAGATCTCACTGCTGGGGAATGGCGTGTGCAAGAAGAAGCCAATCTTGACATTCTTCTTGGAGTTTCCAATCTCCTCGCGCAACATTTGCGGAAGCAGCATGAGATGGTAGTCGTGGACCCAGACCAGATCGCCGTCTTGTACGTCCTTGACCACCTCCTTGGCAAATAATCTGTTGACATCACGGTAGGCAGCCCAAGCAGCCTCGTCGAATGTGATCTCACCGGGGTGGTAGTGGAAGAGTGGCCACAAGATCGAGTCTGGAGAAAGAAGTAGGGGTTAGCCAGTGATGCTTGGAGAAAAGCCGCGACGCTCGAGGGGCTACTCACTCGCAAAGCCGTTGTAGTGACGGTCAGCCAGCTCATCGTCGACGAACACGGGGTAGGCGTTGTATTTCTCTTTGAGCTGTTCTCTCATGGGACCGATTTCCGCCTCGGGCACCTCCAGGCCGGGCCACCCATACCACTGGAAGCTGGTGGCCTTGGACAAGCCGCTGAGACCAGTGACAAGACCACCTGAGGACATGGAGAAGCTGTATTGGCCATCGTCTGTTCGCTTGATGGTGATGGGAAGGCGATTCGAGATTAAGAGGAGGCGACCGGACGAGCCGTTTTCGTCAACGAGGCCGGGCATTGCGGGTAGCGAGCTTGGGGGTTGACAGCGCGGATTGCGAGGAACGAACGGTGAGGGGAGCGCCTGCGATGCAGCGCTCTGGGGTATGCTACGAAGGGAGGTCCTGCCTGCGCGACAGTGTCTTGAAGGATTTGTATTAGGTTGGGAGTCGGTTCCTGAAGAGAGGTGATGATAAAGAGCAACGGCTATCTTTTTGTTGCTAAGTTCTGGAATGTTTGACAGCGGCCAGCTGTGGATCGACTGTGCCTCTGGTGACGTTGTCGACTGGTGCACCTGCAAATGAAAGCTTGGAAACCGTTCGAGCTGCTCTTCAATGCGGGGCAGGCGCAGTGCAGCGAGAGAGAGACAGCCAAGGGCGGGGTAACAACTTGGAATTATTTCAGGTCGGGTTGTCAAACAGCTCCGGGATGGGCGATGAGCTTTCCTTTATGTATATGGAAATAGCTAGCTATGTGCATGTGAAGGCTCTGAGCGGGATATATGTAGTGTAATGAGGATGCTGACTGCTATTGCGAAGAACCTGTCATCTTTCTCGATTCTCACAGCTTTCGAAGCCGTCGACGTAATTTTTTGGGCGGGATCAAGGATGCCGAGTGCGGGACAGATGGCTGGCAGCCCTGCCCGCATCAGCTTCAGCTAAAACGCCAGAAACGCCACGATAAAATCCCGGCAAGTCTCCACCCTGTCCCATCACCATGTCACCGTTATCAAGAGCATCACTTGTTGAGAGGAAGGCACAATTCCCTATATTTGTCTCTGGATCCTGATATCTTGGCCAGGCTGCGACGCTGAAATCGCCATTTTGCACCTTCCAACCGGCCACAACCACGACAGGGATTCATCAAATGGCGCACCATACGACGATGCACCGTGGTGGCCATGCAAAGCGCACCGAGCCGAAATCTCTTGTTTGAGATGTTTTTTTTTCTTTGCTCTCGCCTGCCCAGATCGTGATTTCGGACCTTCTTTCCAGCCGTGACCCGCTTGGCTCACACTTTAATGCTGAACCACTGTTCAGAAACTGGAGGCCTGACAGCAAGACGACAGGACAGGACTCTGGAGGAATGTTCTTTGCTATTCTTCAGTCTGCACGTTCCTTCAGCAGGACCCGCTCCTGTCGTCAGCCTGGCTCAACGGCACGCGGGCCACATGCTCCTGGGCAACAAGACAGCTCAGGACACCAGCGACTGAACACCAAGAGCTGCACGACCTGAGATGTCACTTTTCTTGAACCTCGACTTTAGCCGTCCAAGGTCGGTCGGCTGGACTGCGGAGCAATCCCAGGCCAATCAAACGGCCACAACCCCCCCCCCCATGTCACCTGCTGCCCGATTCTTTGTCAATCGACCGGACCGAGACGCCCAGCAGCCTTGTTGGACCCACATCCGAAGCCACGATCGAAACGGAGTGCTGCGATCTGGAACGGTAGCCCGGCTTGGCATCATCCTCGATTATACAATTACATGGACGGCGACATGCCCGAGAGGGCTACCAAGTTTGCATTGATACTGCACTGTGATGCAGACTACGGGCATCTCTCAACAGCAAACAACAAGTTGAAACATACCACTGACAGTTCGGATGGTTTTAAAGCCATCAATCATGTGGATCTCCCGTGCAACACAGCCATGTTGTGCTGCCTGTGATGTGTCACCTCTTAGGTAAAGTATATATACTTATAACTAAGTAAAGAGAGCTAGGTAGTACTTGAAGCCACTACCTCTGCACAGGCGTCAAGTAAGCATTCAGCGCCCCCTTCTCCCACAGGTTGAAAATCCGCTGCTTGCTCATCCAGTCGGCGCTGTCCTCATCCATCTTCAAGTCAAAGTTCCAAAGTACGCGGGCAAGAATCAAACGCATTTCGATGTAGGCCAGGTTCCTTCCCAAGCAGTTCCGGGGACCCAAGTGGAAAGGTTGAAAGGCTTCCTTGTGATCGCTCGCGAATTCGGGGTCGCCAAGCCATCTCTCAGGGTGGAATTCGAAAGGCTTCTTGAAGTGCTCCTCGTTGTGATACATGGCCCACTGATGGACGGCCACGACCGTCTGCTCATTCAGAGTCGTCAGCTGCTAGCATATCAGAACTCGGAAAGGGATGACTTACACCACCCGGGACATAGTGTCCAGCGATGCTAGCTCCCGCTGGGGGAACAACTCTGGGCAGCCCAGTCGGAACAGGAGGATACATCCTGAGCGCCTCGTCCAGGCAGGCGAGCAGATAGGGGAGGTTGCTGACACTCATAAAGTCAATCTCGTCCTCGGACTTGAAAGCACCTCTGACCTCGGCCGTGAGTTTCTCCAACGCGTCAGGGTTCGTCATCAGCAAGAAAGTAACCCCCGAAAGGAGCGTCGCTGTCGTCTCGGAGCCACCAATAATGAGAATCGCACTGTTGGCCTGCAGTTTCTGAAGCGTAAGACCCTGTTTCCCACAAGTCAGCTCACCACCCTCCCTGTCAACAACACGTCCGAAGGCTCAAAAACTCACCCACTCATCCGCCTTCTTCAACAACCCCTCAATCAAATCACTCCTCTCCTTCCCCCCCTCCATCCGTTTCTTCAACTTCACCAACGTCATCTGATAGTGCCTCTCCCGTTCCTCCATCAAGCTCTTGGGCACCACCGCCATCAGCGCCTTGAACACCCACGGGTAATGAACCAAGCTCTGAAAAACAACCCCCACCCTCGCCAGCTCGAAAATCGCCTTGACCCACGGGTGATACTCCCCGCCCTCCAAACACCCAAAACTCTCCCCAAACGCCAAATCCCCAATCACATCAAAAGTAGTATAGTTATACCACGCCGCCAAATCCACCTTTTTTCCCCCGGCCGCTCTGAGCTTTCTCATCAACAAATCAACATACTGCTTAATCAACGGCTGCTGCTCCCTCATGCTCCGATCAGAGAAACCGTGCGCCATTGTTCTTCGTAGTAGACCATGCTCCTCCCTTTTGGCGTTCACAATGTCAACCGGGAGGTCGTCCACCGGGCGGTAAAACCCGAGGTACTTTTCAAACTCTTCCGACTTGTCGGTGCGGTGGCCCATGATGTCCTTCCAGGCCTGGGGGTTGGAGAAGGCGAGCTCGTTGGGGCCGATGCGGACGACGGGGCCGTACTTTTGGTGGAGGGGGAGGAGGTCGAAGGGGAGGGTGCCGCGACACAGGAGGCGGATGTGGCCTAGGCGGGTGGCGCGCATGAGGAGGGGGCCGGGGAAGGAGCGGAGAGGGTGGAGGAGAAGGTTGTAGAGTATGCTGCCCAGGACGTAGAGGGCGAACTGGGAAGGGTGGTCAGTATTTGTGGCTTGTGATGGGAAAAGGTGGGATGACTTACGCCTCCTACGAGGAGGAGGAGCGAGGGCCCTACTCCTAGGGACAGGAGGGCCATGGTTGGTTGGTGATGTTCAGTGGTGTGGTGTTGATATGAGGGTGTTTGCTCAAGTCGCGAGTGCCGCTTGTGATGATTGCTATCATGGGATGTTCTGCCGTTCGCATCCAAAATTCCCACGCGTTTCACTGCTATTCAAACTAAAAGTGCGAAACTGACTCGTTCCCGCCTTTCCAGCAACTAAACTACTCGTCAAGCCAAAAAAAAAAAAGTTGGAAGATTCACAGGTAACCAGACCAGAACTCGCATTTGCTCGGAACCGGACTCAGTGTCGCATTTTGTAGTCCACGCAACATTGTGCGAGCTTGATAAACCCCCCCTTGGCCGAGAACTTGCCCCCCTCCCCCCGGACCTCGGATCTGCATTTGCCATTTTTTTCTCCTCCTCAGGTTTGTGCGGTGAGTGAGTGAACGTGTGGTTGCAATTCAGTGGTAGGCGGGTACGAGTACGATGGGAAAAAAGCAGGTGAAACCAAAGGTTCAATCTTGGGGTTGATAGGTTTATATTGGTCAGTCCAACGCCCCTGCGCGGCACATGGACTCACCCTGGTCTTGATCTTCATCGACACAAACTCGGCTTACGTCCAAGTATATACCTGTAGCGTATAGGTTATCATGTCAGCACTCTAGAATATATGTTCATACTAGAATTACCTTACCCACCGCCCTTCACAATCCTCCTGTCCGACCTCGACCGCTTCTCAGGGGTAACGCCGATCCGTGATCCCGCCAAGACGGAACAGAGCTTCAGAGCGAGGTCACCATCCTGGAATGGTTAGCGCTCATCGGCCGCTAACGGTTGCAAAAGCTTAGGGGGGAACGCCACTAGAAGCTGTTTTGGTGTACGAATTCGAGAAGGCCGGAATGACACCTTGTTCTCCTCGAGTTTGTTCAGGAAGAAGGACTCGTTTGTGCATTGGACGACCGATACTACATCCTCATCAGGCAGGTCATAGTGGAAGCCTTGGTGTGAAGAGGTCTCACGTGAAACAAGCACAAGTCCTCATGTGCCTAAGTGGAGTTAGTTGTAGAAATAGGATGGTCAATGATTAAAGTGTCACCTACGTGTACGTCTACTCTAAATCTACTTATATATCCGCATCTCCCAGGCATCAAACTTCCCCCACCAAATCAACTCGCCAACCCTGCGTAGTCAATCCTCCCCAAAACTTGTCCACGATGTAAAATCGCCCCCCCTCAACACCTAGGTAATCTTCCCATCAACCCACCCCCCCCCAACAAACCACCAACCCAGCAATTCCCCCCCTCCACCGCTCCCTCCCTCACCCTCCCCGCCCAGCTCCTCAAATTCCTAAACGCCCTCGCCCCTTTCAAAAACTCGTCCCGTCCCCTCATCATCTCCCACCTCCCCAACTCAGCCATGTAATACCCCAACCCCTCCACCTTTTTATCCACCCCTTCTTCCTGCTCAGCAACAAAATGCACAAACAACCTCAACACCCCACCCGCATCATAAACCCCCGAAAACGCCAACCCCTCCCCTTTTCCTTCCCCCCTTTTCCTTTCCCCCGGTGCGTAACTCCTCAGCACAAACATCCCCCTCGCCCCATAAGCCCCATCCACCGCCACCGCAGCAACACCCCCCTTCCCCCCCCTCCCAACAACCTCGACAAAAAAGTTGGGCGCAACAGGTACCTCGTACCTCTTGGTCACGACGATAAACTCTTCCTCCCGATCCCGAATAAGATGTTCCAACTCTGCCGGTCGAACACCGTCGAAGCTGTACGGGGTGGGGATTACGTCAGGGAGCGAGTTGACCGGTTTCATGGCGTTGAAGGGGATGTAGATCCTGTTTTGGGGGAAGGCGGGGACACACCCGGCGATGGTGTCCAGGACCCCATCGGGGAGGAGGCGGTCGTCTTGGGAGGGGAGGAGGGAGGATTTATGCTGGAAGGTGTCATATGCTTCTGAGGAAAAGGACGTGGTTGTGAGGGTCTGTATCGGGGTTGAGAGGTAAGTCAAAATTTTGTCAAGGTCCGACGGTGAGGGGGTGGAGGGGGAGGGGAGGTGGATTCGGTGGTCGAGGAGGTGTTGTTCTTGGAGGAGGGAGTAGATTGTGGTGGGGGATGGGCGGGCGGTGGTACCAGGGCGGGGGGGCAGAGAGGAGCGGACTCGTTGGGGGGGAGGAGGAGGGCGGGTGGGTTGGAAGAAGGAGGGGTGTAAGTCGCGGAGGTATCGGGTTTCGATCGGGGGGAAGGTGAGTGATTGGCTTCGACTGCTGCTGGTGTGGACGCGAGCGATGGTCATGTTTCGCACCGCGCCGGGGGCTGGGAGGGAGGTTCTACGGTCGCGGTCGCGATCGCGGAGGGACCAGCATAATCGTGGAAGCTGGGAGTAGTCGCTCCACAGGACGGGATAGTTTTCGTTGTTGTCGCCGATGGTGATTTTGGTGGGGCGTTGGTTGTCGTCGTCGTGGTCGTCGTCGTCGTCATCGTTTTCACGATGGCGCTTTGATCCGTGCGGCGGTGTTGTCATATTGAGTTTTAAGGTCTTGTCACTGTCGAAACTGACACGGGTAGAGACAAAAGACGGGAAAAGGCAGGGAGCGGGGAGCGGACCTGATGCGGTTTTCCACCCTTCCCATGGCCTATTTTATGGAAAAGACGGGAGCAGAGGTTGCACCTAACTGCACGCCACCGAGGAAGGAAAAGTGTCCAATGCTACACACAATCATCCGAAGCGAATCATGCCACTTCCATCCCGTGGTTGGGTGTGTGACATGGTGCATTTCGACTGGGCAGCAAAAGAATACAAGGAAAATAGTTACACTGCATCTTTGGGTCAAGGTAAGGTAGGTTGACAGGTGTCATGACCTGTCATGGTGCCGCTGTGTTGCCCTTTTCCCGCCTTGAACTTGAGACACAGCACTGCTACCTACAACCTCAACCGAATCCTCTCAAACACATTCGGCGTCAACCTCACGCAAACCCCGGCCAACCGAAACAAACACTCCTGCGGATAGTAATTATACTCCATCGCCTCCCTCCCCCTCCCAAACCCAGTCCTATCCGCATACCTCCTCACCACTCTCCCCCACCACGCCCTAACCCCCCCATCCACCACCCCCTCAATCGAGTCCCTAAACACCACCCTCGGCGTGAACAGCTCCCCCCCAACCGTCCCATCACAAACCCCATCCCTCCCCAGGTTAGTATCCCCCCCATTACACTCCCTCACCAACCCCCCGTCGATCAAGTCCATCAGCCCCGCCGCGACCCTCCCCTCGCTCGTCTCCATCGTATCCCTATCACTACCGCAGCTATACCCCCCATAATCCCAACCCCCAATCACCTGCCTGCCCAACAAACTCGCCGCGAAAGCAGTAGCCCAACCCTCGGAGAAAGCAAGCCCCTGCTCAACAGGACTACCTCCGCAGATAGTATGCGCCCCTCCCCTCCCGGGAATCCCCCCGGCAAGCGAGTACATGAAGTGATGGCCCAGCTCATGAGCAAAGTGATCCCCGCTCTGAGACCCAGCACTCCCCCAGATATCAATCTTGTTCTGTCCCGGGTAGTACCTCGACCAATCCATCGGGTACTGAATCCCCAGTTTGGGCACATCCCAGGCCCCGACCAACCGGTCAGCCGTTTGATGGATGGTGTTAAATTCGTTCCATAACCTGACCAGTTCCGGGCCAAAGGAGTGAGGGATGATGGCATCGACTGTTACTTCGTTTGTGGGGGAGATTTTGTAGGGGAGGGGGAATTCTGTGCCCCCCGTCCGGCCGAGGTGGCTTGTCCCGCCTCGGAACTGAAGTTTGGTATTGTCAAAGGCGACCGAGATCAAGACGATGAATTGGTCCGAGGGGAGGGTGATTGTTTTGGTGGCGCGGCCGGCGGGGGAGAGGGTGAGGGAGGTGAAGCCGTAGGTTTGGCGGGAGTCGTCGGTGATGTCCTGGATGTAGATCCAGACTGTGGCGCCTGACATTGGGGGGTGGGTTGCGGGGGTGGTGGAGCGGTCTTCCCAGCGGACGCGGAGGGTTACTTTGTAGGTTTCCTTCTCTCGGCGAGGGGGGTTGCCGTCAATGGGGTAGGGGAGGAGGAGAGGGATGTTTGGTGGGTTGGACAAGACGGGGGTGGGTTCGTCGGGGTAGTCGGGGCAGGAGCAGGTTTTGTTGAAGTCGGAAGGGTCGGGGAGGGGGATGGTGGGGATGGTTTGGTTACGGCGGTAGAGATCGAGGAGCCAGTTGTCCCTGTGTTGTTGCGGTGAGTAGGGGGTTTGTGAAGAAGAAAAGGGGTTGCGTACCAGTACTCTGCGGGTTCTGTGAACTGAACTGCCAGGTGTGCCTTGTCTTTCTTGTCAGGCACCACGGTGAGGTACACCAAGTCTTTCCCAATCATCCTAATGTCAAGCGTGCCATTGCTGTTTTGCTGGGGGGCCACCTCCACTGACAGCTCATAGGAGCTCCCAACAGCAGGATCCTCGAGATGGATCATTTCCTTCTGAGAAACTTCACTTGACACTACTTCCCCTGTAGCAACAACGGTAGGCTCAACATACTCAACCTGCACAGGTCTAATCCCAATCGAATAGGTGAGGTTCCTGCTGGCATAGTTCTTGCCCAATCGGGAAAAGGACAGGTCCAAGGGTAGATGAATCGATGAGCCAGTCTTGCCAGTGCCGATAGGTACCACTCTGGTGGGACGTGTAATCTTGACGCTGGCAGGTGGTTGTGCACGAACCGTAGTTTCGACGGCCTGTTCGCGTTCGGTAATGGATCCAATGACAATCCAGGCTATGAACAGACCTAGGAGGCCAATCAAGGCCAACGAGCGCTGTTGAAACATGGTGAGCTTGGCGATTATTGCCATGGAGCCTGCAGCGGTGCAACGCTGTCGGCTGCCGTTCTTATAGGTTTTCGTGTCATGCTGTCGTCGATGTTGGTAGCCGTGGTCTAGACTCTACTCTGGTTCTCTACAGCTCAGCCGCAGCAGACTTAGTTGGGCCGAAGCAGTGCGTGATAAGGAGAGGCGTCCAGTCTAGCTGTTTTGTGGTCGGTGTATGAGTGAGTCAGACTGGTGGCAGCGAATCGAGAAGACATACGGTAAAGGATGCCTGGAACAGGCTTAGGATATCTAGTCTTGCCACCAATGTCGTCTTCTCAAGGGCAAGTTGTTCACCCGCCTTTCTATTGCCATCAGCCCTACGCTAGCTTGTTCTGTTGAATATCGTCGGTGTTGGAACTGTGGCTGCATGATGGCTTCAGCTCGCGTATCTGATCCAATGGTTGATCCGACTAGACTCTGGACTCACCGGTTAGCAACAGGTGTGGCACGACTTAGCTGTTTCGTCCCAATCCCACACAATACTCATGAGAAAGGAAGATAGCGTTGAAAATCAAGTAGGTATATTGCGTGCGGTACGTGCTGGGGGGGGGGTATCCAAAAAAGCAACAATCATCCTCTCCCTCCTTTACATATCTCGTAAACTTCTTCCAATCGAAAGCCCAGAATTTCATAAGAGAATCAAAAAGGTAAGCAAGCTCAAGGCCACCGTCATCCCGCCAGAGCCTTTCAATATCCCAGCAAGGTTCTGTTGCATTTGGCTAGGAGCCGCCTGGCTGGCTACCACCTGCCCAGTAGATGCCAGGACCCTCTTTCCAGTGTTGTATTGAATGTTGTAAACAGGCGCAGTCGTTAATTCGGCCGGTGTCCCCAATCCGTTCGGGCACTGCGCTTGGTTTGCTGCTGGCCAGTCCAGATTGCACGGTTCGTCGTGTCCCCAAGAACAGATAGGATCCAAGATGTTGAAAAGAATGTGGTTCTTGCCAACCCAGGTATCCTTCTCAAGGCAGCTGGCGAGGAAGTTCATGCTGTTTGCCGCGCTCAAAGGAAGCTTGCCGTCTGGTGTATGGATCAAGTCGGAGCATTCAGAAGCTGCCAATTCCTCATACTCCATGGGCGTCTCGCCGCCAGCTGTTGGCTTCTCTGTCGCCGAATAGCCCGAGTACAGATAATTCCAAGCGTCGTAGCTGACATCGTATGCGCCCTCGCTCTGATCGATGCGCAAAAGTTTGACCTTCCTCCCCTCATAACTGAGCGAAATGCAGATGTTGTTGCAGTCAACTGAGCCAGGCCAGTAGGCGATGCGATTGGTGTCCACCTTGCAGCCCAAAACTCCAACTGAAGAAGAATAACTCTCGTGAGGTGTCGCCCAAACGGTGCCTTTGGCCGCGCGCGCTGTTGTGGCGGCGGCGATGAGAAGCGAAGAGAATTGAATGACTTGGCGCATCATGGCGACTAATGAATGTGAATGGGTGAAAAGGAGCGTAGGTTTGTTTGTATACAGTGTACCAAGTATGTACTGTGTGTGTAAGTGCTGGTTAAAAGAATGTGGTTGTATGTATCATGGTCAAGAATGAAGCGAATGTCAAGCCAACATGGCGGCAGATTGTCACCAGCTCAAGCAGCAAAAAGCGACGATGAGAACTGAAGGTTCCGCGCCCACGTCAAACTCACGAGAGAGAAAAGAAGAAGGACACGCGCTGGGCCGCTGGCGGCGTCAGGAACCAAAAGCCAACGCCCTCACTGAGACTCTGAGAGAGATTAAAGTCGACCGTTTGGGATTAGGCTGAGGATTGTGGAGTGCGCTAATTGGCCCAACGGCGACAAGCGAGATCCACAGGGGTTCATCCCCCCCCCGGACATTGGATGGGCACGCGGGGATTGGCCCACATCTGCAAGTGATTCCGAGCAGCCGACAGGCAGTGGGTTAGGGTTCAAAGGAGGTTCAAACGATGCTCAGATCTCATCGGGAATGTCATTGGTGTTCCTCCTTCGTTCTTCGAGTCTCCTTGGAAGTGGCGGCACCGATACAACCTCAGTTGCCTCCATATCCCCCCCCCGGAATGAGTAGGTGAAGGTCCAACCCGAACCTGCACCCCCATGTTCGCCTTTGGTGTTGGCCACCACAATCCCGCTCGACATGTTGGGATACTTGCGCAGCATTCTGGCAACAACATCCTCTGCGGCATCCTGTGGGCTCATCCCCTGTCTCAAGTTCTCGATAGCCTGGTAGCAAGGCAAGAAGCGCATCATAATATCGCCGTCCCCGGTGGCTCCGCATCCACCAACATCACCGTCAACATAAGACCCGCTCCCGACAATCGGGCCATCTCCAACTCTTCCAGGGACTTTGTGTGAAGCCCCGTTGGTCGATGTTCCCGCGGCCATAATCCCTGATTCATGAATCACAACCATGGATATAGTGTCATGCGACACAGCGCCCTCGTCCTCCATCACCGATCTCGCCAGTGTCTGCTGATCAATCCCAGGCAACGGCGTATAGGGCCCACACGAAGTTCTCGGATCAGGCGCAACATTCAGCCTATAATTCGACTGGCAATTGGCCCTCTTCCAAGCCTCGCACTTCTCCTTGCTTGCCTCGGTCGTTAAATCCTGTTCCTTGAACCCATTCTCGATGGCAAAATTGGTAGCCAAATCTCCAACAAGAAGTGAATGCCTAGTGTGCTCCAGTACAGCACGTGCGACACCAATCGCGTCTTTGATCCTCCGCAAGCCGGCAACAGCACCGGTCTTCATGGAGGTGCCATCCATGACCATGGCATCAAGAGTGGTCTCGCAGGACTCGTCCGGTGAGCCGCCATAGCCAACAGTGGTATCGCACTGGTTCTTCTCACATGTCGCGCACCCAATCTCAACTGCATCCAGAGCGGACGTGTTTCTGTCGGCGATGAGGGCGAGATATGCCGCATCAGTGGCCGCTGTGAAAGCGCCGCCCCACGTGTTGATCACGAAGGGGAGCCCTGGGCTTCGGCTTGCAGAAACACATGTTGAAGCGGTCAAAAAGGCGAGAAATGAGAGCACCGCAGAGGCACGGGAATGAGGCCGGAGCACCATGGCAAAATTGCGAGGTGCAAAAGAATGAGGAGTAGCCCAAACTCAAATTCGTGGGAGAGGTGAGTGATAAGGAACATCGAGTAAGGAAGGTGGTGCTGGATAAAATGGAGAGGTGGTCCGTGCCGCCCTTTGTCACCTGGCCACCAGCAAGAAAACAAGGCTCAGGGGGAGGACCCCTACCCTAACCCTGACATGCCTCCTTCATTGCCGACAACCACATCCAGAGCAAACAACGAGATCTGGAAAGAAATGTGCACAGTCACAGCATGTCAGCCATAGTTTAATCAGACCCTTGTTGGTAAAAACTAACAAGACAGTGACAGCAGTCTCTCGCCACGACTAAGAACAACAAACAAAGTGTCCTAACCCACTCGAACTTCCTTGCGGCCTTCTCCTCCATGTTCCGCGCTCCAACCCCATCCCAACCCCCCACACCAACTCTGAACCCCCACCTAACAAAACAGCAAAACCCAAACCACAAACAAAAAAAACCCACCGAAAACCACAAACAAAACCAACAAAGCCATCACAATATTGTAATGAGCCACCTCCTTGTGGCCATGCACAAGCGCCATGCAACTCTCTGCCTCCTGCAAGAACTGGGCCACGGTGTCGTTGAACGCCTCGGCGTGCGGGTGATCAGTGTTGAAGGTCATCAAGTGGGCGAGAAGGGCTAGCTTGTCGGCGAGGGTATGCATTCTGGCATGCTTTTCGTTGAGGAGGTCGTTGAAGGGGGCGGGTGTGGATTCCTGGGTGGAAATTGAGAGGTTAAGTTGGTTGTGGCAAAAGGGCAGATAGGTGGAGGGTGGCGAATCTTGAAGACTAGAGGGTTTGAGGTGTTGCGTTGGTTGGTGGTGGCGGGGGAGTCAGCCTGGAGATGGTTAACATGGAAGCTGGACAGCGATGACGGGGAATGGGCTGTGCCGGGAAGAGACTTGCCATGTTGTGACTTCTATTCACTGTTCGATGATAAAATAATGTAAATGGAAAGCAGAAGCTTTCAGGTTGGTATAGTGGTAAAAATTGCCGTGAAAGAATGATGGCCGCAAACGAATGACGGTCGTAAAAGAAATGCTGACCGTAAGAGAATAATGGCTGTAATCTGTAAAGAAAGGCTCAAGGTGGTGAATATACCTTAAGCGAGAAAACGAGAACAAGAAGAGTCACAGAAACTCACGAGGTCAGATCCAAGGCAGTTGTTGTGCTGAATCTGCAAATGTTTTCGCCGGTTGTTTTGGGTGTCGGCAGATAATAGAAGAAAATGAGTGGGCACTGACAATGCAAATACACTGGGCCTTGATGGTTGCATGTGAAGACAGGTTGCCAGTGGTAAGAGAGCATACCTAAAGGTTAGTAAGGTATCTTGGAGAACCAGGCATATATGTCCCGGATAGTACAGAGCTAATGTACCTAAATCATAGGCACATCACTCCGAACGCTTTGCCTTCAGCTTGGAACCTAGTTGAACCGAAGATATGTGTTGATACCTACTGTCTTATCATGAGAGTCAAAATATAAGGATACCAGAACACGATTTTACACATAACCGAACAGCCACGATTACTCCTCCCAAAGCTTCTTAGTAATCTTTCATTTAATAATACTAACACCGCTGATAACCCATCACTTGTTCATGTACAGAGCACTCCTGCCGAAAGTCCAGTCTTAGAACCCCGAGAAGTGGCACTGACTTGGTTGTTATCTTCCTAGCTGAGCAGTTCTGACTCTGATCTCCATGTGATTACATCTGTGTGTTTGTATCCTGCAATCGAGAGCAACATGGACTGGAACCCATGACTTTACGAATGGGTCATATTTCACGACAGGGTGCTAGTCACTTGGTTTCCGAATCAATCCCTCACGAGCAAGTTGCACCATACCATAAGAAAGAGTATATAGCTCGCAAGTTAACGCTGTGTATCTCATCTAATCTTTGAACGAGTAGCATCAGTAAACGAGTTACCAGTAAAGTATTTCATCAAATCGAAGGAAAAAGACACAGTGAGCCACTGGACGTACATGAAAACAACATTTGAAGACATGTGGGGTGCTCCAATATTGACTGCTATCCCATGTTGAGCTGAGTCCTCATGACATTCAACACCCAGTTGGAAGTCGGGGGCCATCATCCTAGCATTCCAGAATAGTGAGTTTTCCCTTCTGCTGCCTTCTCCTGGCCCCCGCTAACCTTCCCCATGTGGGTTACCTACCATGAGAGCTCCAATCACAACTTGAGGTCCCAGACGGCCTTTTTCAAATTCCATTTCCTTCCTGCCTACCTTTTGTACCATAATCACCTTCGATTGCATCGAGATTTCAGTATCACCCATTTCAATCTCGACTCACCTGTGGCCTATCCAAAATGGTAAATGCCGGTGGTGTACCTCCACAGAATAGGTCAGTATGCGCTCATTTATCTTGAAAGGATCACCATCAAACAATTCGCGAGATCTTCGACCTTATCCTCAAGAATAAGATGTCAACGCTTGACGCAGAGTCTTTGGAGCTCATGCTCGTCTTTCTAGACCATGAGTTCGAACGAATGGACAACGCCATTATCGAAGTCGAGAACGACAAAGAGCGATGTCAGGTGCAGGTTCTCGAGGGATTCTGCACCAGAAGGCCGGGTGTGGGCATCGATGAGCAGCGGATCAAGAGAACGCAGTAAGAAGTTAGAGTCCATCACCGCTTGCAACATACACTTACGTCGAAGTACAGTTTAATATCCTTGATGGCGCAACCGAGAGGTACCGCAAAACCGCCGAAGAAGCTAGGAAGCGGTTGGAGGAGGAAGAGAGAGCTTCGACGCAAAAAGGAAATGCTGGAGGTTGTTCACCGGATTTGCGACAAGGTAGTCAACGTCGAAAATTTGATCCATATTCTGCACAAGAAGACTCAAGACAGGAAGGCTTAAATTCTCAGACGTCCGGCATAAGACAGCAGTTGTTTGAGGGCATGGGGAGGTTTCTCCTTTTGTACAGAATACAACCAAGACAGGGAGAGGACAAGGCAGAGTGAGGCATGATACTCAGGGATAGTTGCGAAATAGGGAAGAGATATACAACCAGTAAAATCCTGAAACCATGGCCTTGTTGTGAGCTATCCCAGTGAATGATGTCGTCGATGTGTCGATGTTGTGCCTGAAAGGGTAAGGCGCAATGCGGGTCTGGGCCAAGCCGCATGGATCCGCGGCCAAAGTGGCGCTTTAATCCTTGACCTTTGTCTCCACCTTCCAAAGCCCCATCGCAGTCGCGTCAATCCGACGCGTTTATCAGGACCTCTCATCACTTTTTTTTGCTACGCACAGATCCAATCATCATTTTTCACTTGTGCAAATCATTCAGTCGACAACATGGCGCCAAAGAAGGTGGCAGACAAGACAATTGCCGCCGAGCTGACAAGTGTGGTCGACCAAATCTACAATGGTCCCGACCGCGACAAGCTCTCCGTCAATTACGCCCGCGAACTGGTCGAGGAGAAACTTGGTCTGGACAAGGGCTTCTTGAAAGAGGGCCAGTGGAAGGCCAGGAGCAAAGAAATCATTCGCGCCGCTTTGGTAACTTCTCAAATCCCAGCAGACAATGATGAGGGCATTACTGACCTTGCATCTGCGATTTTAGGAAGCGCTTGAGAATGTCGAATCCGAACCTGAACCCTCCCCTCAGCCCCCGAAGCGCAAGGCGAAGCAGCAGCCAAAGAACGGTGCCCCCGCCAAGCGAGCAAAGAAAAGCCCCTCCCCCGCCCCAGAGGCAGACGTGCCTTCTGAGTCCGGCGACGTCGACGATGCCAGTGAAGCCTCGGAGCAGCCGGCCAAGAAACGGAAGCTCGCGAAGCCGTCCAAGAAGAGGAGGGTAGTTTCGGACGACGATGACGAAGCCAGCGACGCAAGCGCCAAGGAACCAGAACCTGCCAAGAAGAAAGCTCAGAAAGACAGGGAAGAGATGCCTGCAAAAGGCGATGCGACAGTCACAGCGAAGGACGATTCGAGTGAGCTCTCTGAAATTAAGAGTGTGCCGGAGAGCGCCGACAAGATTCCAGACAGCGACGACGAATTGTCCGACGTGATCGACGAACCGCCGAAAAGGAAACAAAAAGCACAAGCCAAGCCCAAGGCAGCCGAGAAGCCTAAACCTGTGGTTGTCGCAAAAGAGGATGGCAATGAGTCCTCTAGTTCCCTCTCATCTGTTATCGATGATGGACCTCCAATCAAGCGCAAGGGAAAGGGCTCCGCAGCACCGAAAGCCCCAGCAGCGCGTAAGACCAAGGCGGCAGCTACCGAGGCCTCACCGGATGAAGCTACGATCAAGCAACTGCAGGGTCAACTTTTAAAGTGCGGCGTCCGTAAAGTCTGGGCGTTTGAGTTCAAGAAAGGCGGACAGACGACACCCAAGGCCAAGATCAACCGTCTCAAGGAGATGCTTACTGAAATCGGAATGACTGGTCGCTTTTCAGAGGCCAGAGCTAAGGAGATCAAGATGCAGCGGGAGTTGATGGCTGACCTGGACGCTGTTAAGCAGTGGGACCAGACCTTTGGTGTTGCTGATGGCGGCCGGCGTTCGAGGCGAGGCGCTCCTGTCAAGAGCTTCAGGGAGCCTAGCATCAGTGGCGATGATGAGGCTGAGAATGATGATCAGGAAGATGAAGATGGTGAGGAGAGCGACGAGGAGGTCAGCGATGCTGCCGAGTCCAGTGAGTCCAGCGATGATAATGGCGCAAGCGAGGACAGTGAGGAGGAGGAGAAGCCAAAGAAAGGCAAGGGAAAGGGGGCCACCAAACGGAGGGCTGTATCCGATGAGGAGTGTGACTCGGACTAAGTGGCAGGCAGTTTCGGGTTGATGTTGTGGGCGGTTTCTGATTGGCAATTTGATGCTTGTAGGCGTGTCTTGTGTTTGACTGTCGGCTGTTTGCTCTTAACTTTTGCATTTGTAAGATACCCTTGCAGCATGGGACGGGACTAATGTGTATATATTTTCGGGATATTTGTATCATTATTCGCTCATCCAAGAAGCTTCTAACGGCTATCTTCGTCGATCAATTTGCAGCCTTTGGCGATAATAGCACCGGGAGACTTCCGTCAACCTTCAACTGGGCGGAGCGGTACACTACATCATGACCTCTGATTCCTCGGCATAACAGCATCAAACAACTCAAAGTCGCTTTGGCGGAGTGGTTAACGCGCGGCCCTGCTATCCCTCAGCATAGGCCGTTTCTTCGGAAGCGTAGGTTCGAATCCTGCAGGCGACGTCTTCTTTTTGCCCTGTTCTCCTCTTCAACTCTTCATCAACTCCACAGTTCATAATGACAACTGGCGTTGGTTGTGGTACGTATCCACAAGGGACGATCTATTTTTGGCTTTCCGGACGACGCAATGATGTCTGGATGTCTCAAAGTCTAGGTTGAGCATATTACAACTATGAGAAACAAATGGGGAGATCGAGTAGTGAATACAGTCTTGTACATGCTCTCAAGGTGTGAGTTACATGACGGTCTGGGAACTTTTGACACTGGCTCATCGCATGGAGAATGGGAATGTGGGGTCTTTCATGAATCGTTTATTCTTTGGGCGATCAAGCTAAGTACGGCAACAGAACCAAGGTATATGACTGCGTTGTAGAACTGGGTAAAAGTTTAGCTGAGAATTATGAATCTGCAAGGAAAAGAAGAGGACGCACTGCTCGACGAGAGACATCTCGCTCTTCGTTCTCAGTCCTGGCTTCGATGAAGAGCCGTCGAAGATTGGGAAAGTTTGCCTGTGACCGGGTTAGAAAGGGTTGACTGAGACAAGAGCAAAACTTCGCCATACCATTTTGAGCAACAACAGATGATATGTTACAAGACAGCGGTTGACTTAGTGAAAAATTGACAAGATAGTTTGGTTGATGTTGCCCTGGGTGTAGTCGTTGATGAGTTGCTACTGAGCCGTCAGCAGCCAATCGTCAATTGACAGGGGAGCTCTTGACCCCACATTGAGTGCAAGACACCCCACCCTCTGTGGCTGGAGCTGCCTGATTTCCTGAAACCAAGAGCTAGAGGCCTTGCCAAGCCACAACTCCAGCCTCGAACAGCGCAGCGGGACAGGGCCAGAACTTGGGAGATGCTGACGAGCACCCTGTCCACTGCATATCGCAATCCACACCTCATTGCCGCCCACGACAAGACATCCTGGCACGCTGCCTGCTTCTCCCTCCTCAACCACCGAGAATCGCGGGCCGCCATCTACGCACTGTCGGCGCATGTTAAGCCTCCACACCTACTGAACGGACAAATCTGTCCTTTGTCACCCCTCGACGATTGACCGCCTCTCGTCGCCTACTATCCCGTACCTTACTCCACGAACGCCCCTCGCCCCTGACGGCACCTGTCCGATCATACAGTCCAGACATGTCGAATGCCGTGAACCGGATACGCGGGGCCCTCGCGCCCCCGCGGAAGGGTGAGACGTTCGAGTTGCGCGCTGGGCTGGTTTCCCAGTATGCTCACGAGCGCAAGGAGGCAATCCAGAAGACCATCATGGCCATGACGCTTGGCAAGGATGTGTCTGCTCTGTTCCCCGATGTCCTCAAGAATATCGCAACATCGGATCTGGACCAGAAGAAGCTGGTGTACTTATACCTGATGTGAGTCTCTTTGGTGTCTTGGGCTACAAACAATGAAGGGGCTTGGACTGATAAGGAGACAGGAACTACGCCAAGTCCCACCCGGACCTGTGCATTCTCGCCGTCAACACATTCGTACAAGACTCCGAAGACCCGAACCCCCTAATCCGAGCCCTCGCTATCCGAACAATGGGCTGCGTTCGCGTTGATAAGATGGTGGACTACATGGAGGAACCGCTGCGCAAGACCCTTAGAGACGAATCGCCCTACGTTCGCAAGACCGCTGCCATTTGCGTTGCCAAGCTTTTCGATTTGAACCCAACCATGTGCATAGAGAACGGATTTCTCGAGACTCTGCAGGAGTTGATTGGAGACCCCAACCCCATGGTGGTAGCCAACTCGGTCCAGGCGCTTTCCGAGATCAGCGAGACAGCCCCTGAAACGAGGGCCCTCATCATCACACCTGCCACCTTGAAAAAGCTTCTCATGGCGTTGAATGAGTGCACGGAATGGGGCAGAGTTACAATTCTGACGACCTTGGCCGATTATCCTGCGTCCGATGTTAAGGAGTCAGAGCACATCTGTGAAAGGGTCACCCCCCAGTTCCAACACGTCAACCCCAGCGTTGTCTTGGCTGCCGTCAAGGTTGTTTTCATCCACATGAGGATGCTCAGTCCAGAGTTGGTCAGACAATATCTCAAGAAAATGGCTCCTCCTTTAGGTTTGTGCTCCGCGGCTGCTCTGTACGTCTTCGTTTACTGACATGAATAACCCTCAGTTACCCTCGTTTCCTCCGCCCCGGAAGTCCAGTATGTTGCCCTGCGAAATATCGACCTTCTTTTACAAGCAAAGCCCGACATTCTCAGCAAGGAATTGAGGGTATTCTTCTGCAAATACAACGACCCCCCCTATGTCAAGCTCCAAAAACTCGAAATCATGGTCAGGATTGCGAACGAGAAGAACTATGAGCAGCTCCTTTCGGAACTGAAGGAATATGCCTTGGAAGTGGACATGGACTTTGTGAAGAGGGCAGTCAAGGCCATTGGTCAGGTCGCCATCAAGATTGAGGCGGCCAGCGAGAAGTGCGTTGCGGCCCTTCAGGACCTGATCTCGACAAAGGTCAATTACGTGGTCCAAGAGGTTATTGTTGTCATCAAGGACATTCTCCGGAAATATCCAGGATACGAGGGTGTCATTCCAACTCTTTGCAAGTACATCGATGAGCTGGATGAGCCAACAGCACGCGGATCCTTGATCTGGATCGTTGGAGAGTATGCGGAAAAGATCAACAATGCGGACGAAATTCTATCAGGATTCGTTGACGTCTTTGAGGAGGAGTTTACACAGACACAGTTGCAGATTCTCACAGCTGTGGTGAAGTTGTTCCTCAAGAAGCCCAGCAACAACCAGGGCCTGGTGCAAAAGGTGCTGCAGGTGGCAACAGGGGATAGCGACAACCCGGATATTCGGGACCGCGCTTATATCTACTGGCGTCTTCTTTCGGGTGATCTCGATGTTGCCAAGGTTTGTTTTGTTTACATCCACCCTACCCCTTTTTAGGATGCGGTTCTAACGAAATTCTAGAACATCATTCTCTCGCAAAAACCAGCAATTACCACGACTGTGACCAGCTTGCCACTAGTTCTTCTCGAGCAGCTCCTCAGCGAGCTTTCGACCCTCGCCTCTGTGTACCACAAGCCACCCGAGTCGTTCGTTGGCAAGGGGCGTTATGGTGCCGAGGCCATCCAGCGCGCTGCCATCCAAGAGCAACGGCAAAACCTGGCAGAGAACCCCATCGCTGCCTCTGTTGCCGCCGCGGCATCCAATGGCACGGCAGGCGGCTCTCAAAACAATATTGAGAACCTTCTTGACATTGACTTTGATGGCGCCGCCCCGGCTGCGGAATCCACTCCGGATCGGGTGGCTAGTCCCATGTCACCCAGTGGTCCTAGTGCGCCTCCGCCCAGCGGTGGTATGGCTGACATCATGGGCTTGTTTGATGCGCCACCGCCCACGACGACTTCGCCGGGTCCTGGGGCTGCGCCTGGTATGGGTGGGGGGATGAATGATCTGATGAGTGGCTTTGCGGGTATGGATCTTAGTGGGAATAGTGCCCCGCCACCACCCGGGCAGCAGTTGGGTCATAAGCCGGTGGAACAGAAGGCTACGAGTGGAAGTGATGATTTGCTGGGGCTGTTTTAAGGGCTTGGAGTTGGGGGGATTGGGAAGCGGGTTTATTGTAGACGTTTGAACGGGTAATATTCTGGGTTGGAGAGTGGTGGAAAATGAATAGATGAGCCAGTTTCTGTGTGAATGTTTTGTGTGGCGTTCGATATGAACATGGTGAAGTGATCACTGATGTATAATTTTGGACAACAGTGCTCTATATTTCGGGCCCTCGTCAGCTCACCCCCTGTGTCTCACAACATTCCCTGGAGCATGCAGGATGTTGACTGGACCCTTGAACCCTGGAATTGGACATCAGGCATCGGGAATCGACTACAACGCCAACCGATTTTCAAGTGGAACGCGGTGTCAAGAGTCGCGACGCTGACTGCAAGCATTCGTTTCGAAGCGCTTGAGCTTTTGGCTCGCGAGCGAGGCTGGCCGCTCGCACGCCCCTTCTCGCTTCTCTTACCCAATTGCTGGCCCAGGGCCGTTCTCTCTCCCTCTAACAATGACGGAAGGGTACAACCCCTACAGCAATGCGCGTTTCATCCCGCGCTAAGAGGACATTGCCTCTTGTCTCCCGTCACTCTATCCTCTGACCAAATCTGCGCGTGACGAATTGCTTCCAGGAAGCCATGCCTCACGCGCACCCTGGCATGGCTATTCTCAGAGCGGTACGCTTAATGGAGCCAAGGCTGTGAGCAGGCGTTGCTGTGAGCAATAGCAGCGCGGGCAGGCGTATTGTTGGTTGTAAGCTGTTGTGGGGGTGTGTTTGATTTGAGGGGATTTGTGAATGGTTAACTTTCGTGTCTGAGGGAAGGGTAGTTGGATTGTGACTTGAACTTGAGCACCAACGATCAAGGGTCACAGGGTGAGGTGTGGTGTAAGAAACGTTGCAAGAGTATGAGAGATCAAGATCGATGCCCTTCCCCGAGCAAATATTTGTCTCGGAGCGGCAAGTTGACCCACGTGATTGAGAGCGAAGGTGTCGTTATGTCGGCCAATCATGCGATGCAGGTTTGTGAGTTGGGGTTGAGTGGAAGGAGCTGAGCTCGCTTTGGCAGCGTCTTGAATCCGCCCCGCCGACAGCCTGGTTGTTGCCTACCTTGCCACTCCAGTACATGATCTTGTCCATTTGGCAATTTTGAATCAACAACTCAGAAGAGAGCAAAAAATCACGGCCAGGAACACGATACCATTTCCCATCATTGTTGCCATGGAGAGTACCCAGTCGACTGAATGGAGAAGCCGTAAACGACCATACTCATCATCGGGGCCAGGCAGTGACGACGCGCCAGATCAGAATGACCAGGGTTTACCTTTGGTTCGACGACGGGTGCTTTCCGGGTCAGACTCGGATAGCTCTGGAGAAAAGGACCGTGTTTATGACAACGACTGTGAGATGCAGGATGTGCCGGCTGAAGGGGAACCTTCAGTCCTGGCAACCTGCCTTGGCATGGTCAGCCCTGGACTTTGACGTGTTCTTGAAGGTTATACTGATTCTTTCTCCTGGCAATAGCTAGTATTAGAGCAACCGCACCTGCATCGTCTAAGTACCGAGCAGAGGGAATTTGGAGTGAGCTTCACGGGCTTCGGCAACACCTACACTATTTATTCAGAGGCGTCAGGCGAGTATTGCGGTCTTCTCGACTCGGAGGCAGCTGAATGTGTGCAGGTCCTCGAAAGAATATCTGGTCTTCAGTTTGAAGCATCTATGAATCGACGTTCCAAGAAACTCAAATTCTTGCTCTTCGGCGATATAGAGGAAGCTCAAGATATTGGGAATACGCTGGCATCTAGCAGCCTTTTCCTACAACACCCGAGCACGGAAGATTACCAAGGGACGAGTTACTTCAATCCTCATTATCTCACCAGACCAGGCCTCACTTTTCAGGAAGCTATTGAGACCTTGAACCAACAAGTTCACCTCAGCAAGCAGCTGACATTGACTGAGAAATCTGAAATTGCTACGGTTTTGGACCAAGCAGCTGGGCCAACAATCTTCTCCGAGGTGCAGGTCAGCAATTGTATCAAGACCGAGTTGAAACCGTGAGCCACCTTGTGACATTTGTCTTCGAATGCTGTGACTAACTGTTTGCCAGCCACCAGAAGAAGGCATTGGCTATGATGGTTGAAAAAGAGGCCGGGAATCTGTCTAACCCACAGTTTCCCTCACTTTGGGCCGCGACCTGCATGCTTGGCACTGAAGGTGTACGAATGTGAGTCGCTGGGTTCGTGGTGGTCTGTTTGACTTGACCTCTGGCTGACCTGTGATTCAGATACCAGGATACGGTCACTACAAGTACGCTGCGGTCCGACCCCCCGGTATGCCTTGGGGGAATTCTGGCTGATGTGAGTTACAACGTCATAAATCTGAATTTGTGCTCTAACAGATGACTTCTCAAGGATATGGGCCTTGGGAAGACTTTGACGACACTCGCTCTCATTGCTGGGTCTATTGCAAGTGACCCTGACCCTGAACGTTCACCACGACCAAAAGCCAACAAGGGCCAGCCCTCAGCACAACCAGGCACTTTGGTGGTTGCACCCCTTTCAAGTAAGTGCGCCCTCACGGGGGTCAGAACTACTTTCTGATACGAACTAGCTTTGTCGAACTGGGAAGAGCAGATAAAAATGTAAGCATGCCTTTCCCGTATTTTCTGGACGGGGCTTACTAACAACTACACCAAAAGGCATCTTCGCCATCGTAGTGTGACATACCAAATGTACCACGGCTCATCGAGATCAAAACACCACTCGAGCCTGCCAACCTACGACATTATTCTGACCACGTATGACACTCTGAAAGCTGATATCCGGTCCAACCGGTCTTCTGGTGTGGAGAAAAGCCCTCTTCATGATCTAGTCTGGAAAAGGATCGTCCTCGATGAGGGTAACTGGCCCACCTCTGGAGTTGCTTGCCACCAAACTTTCAACCACTAACAAGTATAACTACAGCACACGTTATCCGCAACCCAAACTCAAAGGTACACGAGGCTGTGTGTTATCTTCGCGCGAAGCACCGCTGGTGTCTCACAGGTACCCCGATACAAAACCGAGTAGAGGATCTATGTTCGCTCCTAGGATTTCTCAGAGCTCACCCCTACGGAGAGCCTACCAAGTTTCGTACCGCAATCACGGATCTCATGGAGAATCGGGATGTTGAAGGGTATGAGAGACTCAGCCGTTTGTTTCAGGCGGTCTCCCTACGCAGGGTCAAAGACATGGACTCCCTTGATCTCCACCTGCCCAAACGGCACGACGTCGTTCGCCTTGTTGAGCTCGATGAGGAAGAGACCGCCCTCTACAACCTTGTCAAAAAATCCTCAGCCACCACATTCAAGGCAACTGGAACCGGTAGAGGCATCTTGCAAGTCATTCTTAGACTACGCCAAGTATCCAACCACGGGGCGGACCTGCTACCTTCCGAGATCCTAAACCGGCTGAAGACTGCTGACATCTCAGGTCTTCCCCCCTCTATTTTCGATACCAAGAGATGTGAAGTTTGCGGGGACATTGTTGGCCAGGGAATGGAAACACCGGAGCGCTTCTTAGGTTGTGGACATCCAGTCTGTACTGCATGTCTCCCTTTGAATCGACAAGATGATGACAATTGCGACCCTATCTGTCCCATTTGCAATGACTCAGCAATGGGTAAGGTCAAGTCCAAGCCATCTGGAAGAGAACTAGCAAAGTCCTATCGCCCTTCGTCAAAGGTTCGAGCCTTGCTTGTGCAACTCGACCTTGATAAAGCAAATATCACTACAGGCAGTGAGGATGTGCCCAAGAGGTAGGTACCGTTACAACCCCGAGACCTTTTGCGGCAAGTCTGACATTTTCACAGCGTAGTGTTTTCATGCTGGGCCAAGATGCTGGACCTGGTCGAGTTAGCGTTGCAACAAAGGGGCATTGCGTTTGTTAGAATCGATGGGACCAGGTCAGAGCAACAGCGAAGAAAGGCTCTTAAAGACTTCCGTGATACTCCATCATGTACCGTGCTCCTAGCGACGTTGGGAAGTGCAGGTGTTGGGTGAGTTTGACAGTTTCCTGCTTTCCCATCCTCAGAGTTCTAACCACGTGTCTCTTCCAACAGGTTGAACCTCACTGCTGCTAGCCAGGTGCACATTCTCGAGCCACAATGGAATCCAATGGTGGAGAGGCAAGCAGTAGACCGCATTCACAGACTTGGGCAGGCTCGGGAAGTTACTTGCTTCTACTATGTTGTGGATACGAGGGGTTCTGTTGAGCAGTACGTTCGCCGTATTCGCGAATCCAAGAATGTCCTTATCAGCATGTCCATGGATGGAACAGGCAGCCTGGTCGACGAAACTTCCCTTACACCTCTGAAGGTTGGTTGTGACTTTGGCATCAATCTCGACTTTGCTTGCTCTAACAATTCCCCTGATAGGAGTTTATGCAGGAAGTTCTTACGGACAGCTGAAAGGTTGGGAAAAGAAGACCGTGTGTTTCTCACCGAACTTTCATCACCTTGCACATCAAATCGGCGCTCTTAAATACACACCTGACCACAGCTGGCAGCGGTGGCAGCAAGCTGTGGCAGCCAATCATTGAAGAAAGGAGCTGGAACCCCTCACTCCTCGGGCGGCCTCAGCTCGGACTGCTGCCTCGCAGTCACCCTGTGCCAAGAACACAGCACTCTTCCTGCGGACTACTTTCTTGTCCAACTATCATGATGTACAACACAAATCGCCATGGCAACGTCCCAGCCCGACCAGTGGATGTTGGATGCCTTTCAAGCCGCTAGGACCGACTTCGCGCGCAATATCAAGAACCTCGACAAGTTCGATCTCGCTCAGTACACTTCAGCTCAGCAGGTGTACAATGCTGCCGACGCCATTCAACAGAAACAAGGCAAAACACTCAAGCTTCGCGCATTGGCTCGTATCAAGCCCTACCTGGACTGTCTTAGCCAGTACCAAGCTGTTATCGAGGTCTTTGTACAGGTCCAACCAGAGATCTTGGCTTTAATATGGGTAAGCAGATGCTGCAATCTGTATGCGCCCTTTCTTGTGGAAATGCAACTGACCTTGTTAATAGGGACCAATCAAGCTGGTCCTCCAGGTACGAAGGTCTTAGCCACATGATAATCTGACATGATACTCAAAGTGGTTCAGCTCACGAGCCGGCTGGCCAAGGCATTCGACAAGGTGGTGGAGGTTCTCGGTGTTATTGGCGAGAATCTCCCCGAGTTTGATCGTTACGCAAAGCTCTTCGAACAAGACGCACAGGTCAGAAAGATCTTGTGTCTATTCTATCAGGACATTCTAGATGTGCATGTAACACTTCTGAAGTTCTTCGGCGGCAGCGGTAAGCTTCCCAACTCTCTGAATGTCTTGCAAAGATTATCTCTAACAGCGCTCCACAGCCTGGGAACTCCTATTCGAATCCTTCTGGCCCAAGGTCACCGACAAGATTAGTATCATAATGCAGCGAATGACAACCCACAGGGCTCTAATGCTGGAAAAGGTCACAATTGCCAACATTACTCAAGACATCGCCGACAGAGAACGCGCCTATAAGGAGTATGAAAAGCAGCATGAATTTCAAGATCTCCAAAATTACCGCTTGCTGAGAGGCGAGCTCTCGCCCTCCTTATACGATGACGAGCTTCAGCAGTTTGCCGGCAGTGGCCCAGCGAAATCAGGCACGTGGTTGTTCGAGAATGGGGATTTCAAAAAGTGGGCCGATGTCAACAACAAAACCCGGCTTTGCCTTTGGCTTCAGGGCATACCTGGTGCTGGTAAACTAGACCTTTCTTGGATGCTTTGTTTGGAAAAAGCTAATAATCAACGCCCAGGGAAAACTGTATTGACTGCCAAGACAATCCGGTATCTCCAAAGCCAAGGGCAGACACTCCTGTTTGCGTTCTTGTCATACCGTGATGAGCGCAAATCGAAACCCGTCAAGATCTTTCAGAGCTTAGTCTTTCAACTTCTTGAGGAACAATCGATGTTGCACCCATTGTTACATGACATTTACCTCACCAACTACCGAAAGCTTATCTCGAATCCAGACTTCGTGGGTGATTTGCTAGGCAAGCTTTTGCAAACGTCGGGCCCAACGATCATTGTCATTGATGGCGTTGACGAAGCCGCCGAATCAGATAAATCATACCTCGTGCGGTCTCTTCTTCGAGTTACGAAGTCTGGGCCGAATGTCAAGCTTTTTGTTAGCAGTCGGATGGATTCAGCGATCAGCAAAGAGTTGATGCGCAGTAGCACAGAGCTTCACGTCGAGGATCACAACGAAGGCGATATTCATGAGTTAATAGACATGGAAAGGGACGATCTCTTGTCAAAATTCCGGAAATGGGATGCTGACGAGGCAACTTGTGACCGAGTTGGCCGAGCCTTTCAACTATTGAAAGAGAAAAGCGATGGGATGATACTATATGCGAAGCTGATGGCAAGACTGCTACAAGGTCTGGACAATGAAGATGATATCAGACGGGAACTTGATACCTTGCCGGAGGGTCTTGGGCAAGCGTAAGGGCACCTCAAATCTTCAATCCTTTTTACCCCTTTTCATATCACACCCGCAGCTAACTGCGTACAGATACGGCCGAGTTATCGAGCGAATTGAATCAAACCCAGTGCCCAAGGACAAAGCTGCTGCAAGGAAAATTCTGGAATGGATTGGCTCGGCTACACGCCCACTCCGCTACGAGGAGGTCATCCAGGCTTTGGTGATCGAGTCCGGATCATCAGGATTTACGAAAGGGCGTAAAGCGTTTCGGGATATTGTAGAGACCTGCGGGCCGATCATCGAGGTGGTTGGGGACTATGTCAGTTTTGTCCACTTCACTGCTAAGGAGTGAGTTCTGCACCAACGATGCCGAGGCTTGCTGAGACCTAACAGGAGCCATCCACTTCTTCCAGGTATCTTTTCAACGGCGACGGAAAATTTCTTGACAAGGAGGAGTCGAATCTTCATATTTCCCTAGCTTGTCTGACCTATTTGGCCTTCCAACCTTTGGACCGCATCATGCAACATGGAGACTCGGCTGCCATATGCGACGAAACCTCAAAGGTCCTGTCTGGCGACTTTGTCTTGCTCGACTATGCTGCTTCGGAATGGCTAAGCCATGTCGGCGCTTGTGCTCAGTCCCGCCACGATGAACAGCTCGTCCAGGCAATACGACGGCTTTATGAGAAGCGAGGGAAGCCAGATGTACATGACTCCACTCAAGTCTCCAGGATATTCAAACACAAGTACCGAGCACTTCGAAGAGACCCAGAGCTTGTCAAACGCCTCGGGCAGTCCGAGACTTTTTTGAACAGGTCGAAACTTGACCTCATCGAAGCCGACGGTGGTAAGTCAAAGGAGTAAACGCATGGGGTTGCGGTCCATGTTCTAACCTCTTGATAGGATGTTCATGGTATGGCATGGATCCAACCTACATTTCCCAAGGCATCATGCGGTTTCGGGATCTCCTCGAAAGCTCTCTTTGTACCACCTCACCATGCAACATTTCTTGCAATTGTACAAAGATCAAAAGACTGTACGGGCATGCTCTATTTAGGTGCCCCCGAATATCTTGTCCCCGATACATTGACGGATTCGAAACTGATTCCGCACGTTCCGAGCACCACAAGACACATGAACGCCCATACAAGTGCTCTCATTCCGATTGTTTGTTCTCCCAACTGGGATTCCGGACCGCAAACGACCTTGCCCGCCATGCGGACGTCACCCACAACCACGTTGTCAACGATGCTGTGCCTTGGAAAAACTTCACAGCCCACCACCTCAGTGAAAGTAACATTGTGGCCATCATGGAAGATACTATCAGTCTGAACCAAGTCGGGATCATGACACGCATTCTATCCAAGGAATCGGGTTTCCTACGCGTCTGCTGTTCCAGGAATTCCAAGGAAGGTGTTCACTGCGATGAATATACCAGGGGACACCATAATGAGTTTCAAGAGCCCTTTGTGATGGATGATGCACTGAGGATATCAGCAAGAGCAGGAACTACAGAAATGATGGAATGCGTCATTGCGGCTGCCAAACTTGCTAAACACAAGGTTTATTCCAAGGTCGATCTTTTGGCACATGCTATCAGATCAGGGAACAATGATGCCTTGGGCGTTATTCTTCAACACTATCCTGCCTTTGGCGAAGCCTCGGAAGAAGTGGAGATCCGTGAAGCTGGCTCGGATTCTGAGTATGACATCGAAAAGTGGATTTGTTTCACCACTGTGTCACTCTTTGAGTTGGCCTTTGCCCACGCCAACGGCCGAGCTATGAAAGCCCTAGTAAGGGCTGGAGCCCGTCCCGATGTTCGTCGAGAGACGTTCATTGATGTGTTCAAGACAAGAGGCCACATGGAACTAATGTCCGCAGACAATCCTAAGACACGAGACACGCTAGGGAGGATGAAAGTTTTAAAGCTCCCAAGTCTGGTGCTGCAATATGGGCTACAGGTCGCTATTCAGCGATCCTCAGCCCATTACGCCGAGTTTTGCGTCGATATGGGTGCCAACGTCAACGGGAAATGGCTCAATATTGGCGAGAAGAAAAGACGCGAACGTCCGACGATGCTATTTCTCGCGATCAAGAGCGGATGTGGGCCCATCTTCAAGTTACTGCTGGAGCACGGGGCTCTTCTACAGGGGGATGAAGTGGAGGATGTCGAATCTGGGGAGATTGCTGGGATGAAGAAGATTGAAAAGTACTTTTCTATGTCTTGGAAGGAAATGATGTCGACGTTTTCGAAGAGTGTGTGATTATACTTGGCCCGTTGAGTAATTCCCGTAAGCAGGAGGTGGCAGGAGTCATTGGGGGATTGATTCAGATCATGATGAGCCGATCAGTGTACTTGATCTCTCATACTCAGTTGAAGTCAAATGCACAAATTGCTGTGTTATGACAGCCACCCTGGTTGCCTAGCCACTTCCCGCGATCGATCTGACGATGTTTATCGTAATATAACATAGAGTAACGACGATTACCATTTTCGACAACACGACCAAAGGAAGAGAGGCTATCTAGCTCTGGTCATGTACCCACCAATCTCATCGTCGAACACCTTTGTGGCAAAGTAGCAACCGCAAAGTCACTAATGTCGTATGTATGTCCCTTTCACAAAGAAGGAATACACTATGCTGATCCATGACATGAACACTAGATCAGCTGCCTCCACACGTAGTGGAAGCATCATAACAACACCATCAAGACTCTCACCCTGGAGATTAACCCGTAGATGTATTGGTCATTCGCAATCTCGTGGACGGCCTCAAAAGCCTATCTATAGCTTGTCATAAGCTGCCCTAACATCTCGCTCGGGCGTGTGGCAGGACACTCTCGCCACCACGAGACTCCAACCAAACAGGGACACTGATCTCAACGTCCTCGAACACAAGTCCATTGATAACTACACGGGCCATACCTACCGGATCGTCAGTTCCCCTTCTAGCTACGCTTATATCTGCAACAATCGTTATTCACCCAACAAATTGCAGACCGGAATATCGAGTTCATTTCATACCTTGCTTTGCCGCGAACACGCGATACTTGTATCGTTTTGGCTTGTTGGACATGGCGCGAGCAGGCGATGTTGATGGTGCGCATCCCTGGTGTAGGTCCACGAGCAAGCGCTGCTGATGCTGAGAGCAGCGTCGTTTGTGGCCGTGCCTTTTATCTTAAGCTAGGATGAAGATAGAGATCAGAAACCTAGGTATATGGATAGTGGACAGGTTGGAAAAAAGACTCCAGAGCTGTGAAAACCTAAACTATTATTACAAGTACATCATACACCACCCAAGGCCTGTTCTATTATCTCCAAGCCCCACTACCATCAGCGAGCTGTCATCTTCTTGATTCCCTCCTCCATCAGCTCAACAGGTTCCTGATCAAACCCCGGATCCCTCTCGATGAAGATCATCCCGGTACCGCATCTTCTCCTCCCCATCCAGAGGCACAGCATCAGGCCTAGGTCTATTCCCCCCGGCCAGACTTGAATCGCCTTTCTGAGCTCTACCTTCTTGACAGGGGCAGCGTGGGCGAGTAACAGAGCCTTTCCCGTCCTTTTTGACCACAATCTTGAGGAGGCGGCCTTGGGGGGTTTGTCTAAGGGGAAGGGTGGTCGGCACGCTGGCGATGCTGTCTGCTTCGTTCAGAGCGGCCAGGGATTGCGAGAGATGGACGGGGCGAACCTGGCAGGAGTGGGTGGTTGCGAGAGCGAGCTCGTTGGAGGGCTCATCCTCCAGGCATGGAGGGCGAAACAAGTATGAGGTCATGTCCAGTGCTTGAAAGCCCGGTGTAACCATGATCGGCGGTGGGTATCGACCAAGGGGAACTAGGTGAACCCTTGGGCCGGCAGTTGGCATGAAAACACCAGAGTGGGTGAACTGGCCAACCTGTCATGACTGCATCCAGGCTCTGTGTGAAATAGCGAGATTGTGGACCATACGCCAGGCTGCTGGGTTACGACAGTAGTACTTGTTAGAGGCGATGATTGCTCCGCCGTGTGCGCGCGGTCCCCGTCGCATGAAGTGGACTACCTCCCCGACGGCCCTGGTCGAGGAGTACATCAAGGCATGAGCCTTGTAGAGCATTGGAAGGTTGTGTGTGCCGGAGATGGGTGAAGAGTCTGAGGAGTAGTCTTCCCTCTCGACGTATATATCTTGGGCGCTGCGAAGATAGGCTCGCGAGATCGTCTCGAGGGAATACAACAAACGCTGTGCGCGTGGCCAGCGGTGATACTCTGGCCATCTATCCTTCCAGTAAAAGGTGGGAATGACTGACGAAAGCGTGTAGTTTTGTCCCTTCGTGATCTTAGTCTCAAAGCTACTTTGTCCCATGATAACGTTCCGAACGAAGCTCATATCATCTGCAAGTGTAATCGAATTGACGGGGCCTGGAGCAGACCCCCAACCTTGCACAAGACGGAACAAGCTGGCCTCGTCGGGGGTAAAGAAATCCAGCGATTGTTTCACAATCGCTCGAATTTTCTTTCCCAGAACAGGAACACTGGCATATCGGTTGTCGCGAAGGGCGGCCGCGCGAGCCTCGTGGTTGACCTTGAGAGAGGGCAGCAGTTAACCTCAAGAAGAGTGAAGGATTCATTTTCGGGCTCATCGAACTTGATAAATGGTCTGATGAACAGATGATGATGGCTTCCGTGCTCTTTCTGCTTGACGCCGTCGATGGCCCAGACGAGCTTCCACACCACCGCAGCATTGTCCTCGTAGGTCTCCATAAAATGGTCCCAGATCTGGTCTGGAACTTCAGTCGGGAATGATGAGAAAAGGTGAAAAGTGACTTCGGTACTTTCCTCCAGCCCGCGTGTACTGCGGTCAAGCAGGCTTGCCAACATTCTCAACGCCATTTCGGGCGGGTGGGTTATTGCGGATGTGCAGAGGTAGGGTGTCCGGAGATTCTTGAATAGCCGGGCTCAGACAAGATTCTTTATAATCTCTCAGGAACTCAGACGAGAGAAATTCGCAATGGTCTATCGGCAGAGGTAGATGATGACACGGTGACCGGGTAAAGAGAGAAGGCTGGGGGTGAGCGTTGTGGTCTGGTGAGGAAAAGGGCTGGCAGCCTGGTGAAGAAAAGAGCTAGCGGTCCACTGAACCGCCCCACAGGGAGCAAGTGATTAAGAGGGACGGGACAGAGCACCACCCCCGGCCAGGTACTGTGACCGCTATTATACCATTCCCCAGTCCCCACAAGGTTGGCGCCTGTAGGTCTCGAGCCTACTCTGGGTTCAACCTCACAGTACCTACCTATCGTCCTGTCAGAAGTTCCGTTCCGATTTGCAGGTCACTCCAACGACTACGAGATAAAACCAGGCCCCTACCTATCAAAGCAAGTGGAGTCCTGACAACAAAAGGACTCCCGTTGGAAAATGGTGTTTTCAACCTGGTGCCATGGTGACGCAGTCGAGGCACGAAAGCATTAGCAATGACACCTTTTCAGATCGTCATTCATTTTTGATAGAGTCAAGAGAGAACGCTGCCATTTCTCAAGTTAAGGTCAATGGCCGCAACGTCAAAAGATATATTGGGATGGTACAAATACCACGATGTCCGACAACATTAGCTTCCTATGTACCAAGTACCCACGGAAAAACATGAACCCAGACGCTTTGTGGACGATCATGTATGCAAGAGTGACGGCTGGGGATGACTTTCAGATCCATCTTGAGTTTCGTATCATTTGCTGTCATTGATAGGGTAAGGCAAATATCACCCACCACTGCCACGATTAGTACGGCGTGTCCACTGAGATGACTAAAGCTGTAAGATGACTCAATTTCTCTTTTTTCCGAATATCTCTAACTAGATCGCTTTCGTGCACCAATTATCGGAACAGCCACATTCACCCATCCCTCACTCCAGTCAATTTGATGGGGAGATAGGTCCCTGTGTAGATTGAGAGTTAGGAGGGAGGATTGATAGGCTTGATAATCCCGATACGAGGTGGTGGCTTCCCACGTGGGTATGAGCCCGATCCGACTGATTGAATCCGTTCCCCTATCCTTCTGACACTTTATTTCCCAGTCGATATCAATCATTAGCTTACAGGGCCTCTTCCATTCCGGCCTAGCCGCATCAGTAAGCCTGCCCTGTCGTGTGTACTGGAGATGTCGCCCCAGTGGTGGAGTTTTCTGCCGGGAAATACGGCAAAGGCAAATTTGGTCCACAAACCACATTACTCTCCGGAAGAACCCCCTCCACAAAGTACTGTCTAACAATGTCATTGACACAATTAGAAGGAACCGCCAACGAGCAATGACCATACCCCTGAACCTCTACCAGCCTTGACCCAACAAAAGCATCATTTGCGGAACGCGCCGAAATAAGCGGACAAACAGGGTCATACGTCGTCGACAGAATCAACAACGGATGAGCTGTTCTGACTCCTCGCTCAGGAATAAAGTCAATTGTCTTGCGAACTGCCCATGACCGTCTGTTGAAGTAGCCAGGCCACTCTTGACTCCCGAAAATTGTGTTGTTGCTCGCCTCGAGAATGGCGGGAATCAGCTCCTCTGGAGTCGCAGGTGACAGTGCAGGTCCGGAGACACCGTCGTTGTACCGGATATAGTCATTGGCGTCTCCTTCATCGTAGTCATTGTATGATTCTGCGGTTGACGGCAGCATGTAGTGAAGGAAAAAGGCAGTCGCGTTTCCAGTTTGTACAAGCGGAGTCAGGGCCGCGGCCAGGGGAGCCCAGCGCAAGGGGCTGTACAAAGCGTTGAAGACGGCGTTGTTCCACACGTCTGAGAAGCCGACAAGACCGCTAACAGTGTTATTAACGTAGACGGGGGCTGGCTCCTCCCTCAGGGCCCAAATAGTCGAGATCAGCTTCTCGATTAGCTCTTCTTTTGTTTCTGCCAGCTGAGCCAGTGGACAGGTCTGATTGCCTGCCTTGATGCACTCATCCACGAAGCCTTCAAACACCTTATCCGTGTCGTCATTGGATTCTCTGTCGGACCAGTTTGTAAACCAGTCAAACTCATTGGCCACGCCATCGATGATGACCCTTCTTACCCGTTCTGGATACATCGTGGCGTAGGTTTGACCCAGTATGGTGCCGTAGCTGAAGCCCCAGTAGTACAAGTTCTCCTGCCCGACAGCATCCAAAATGCTATTCATATCTGCTGCGGTTTGAGGTGTGTTAATGTACTCTCCGTGTTCGCCCATGGTTTGTTTGCAAGCCTGGCTGTAGATGATACTTGAAGCCCACCAATTGCCACTGGACTCGGTCAGGCTGTAGGGGTCTGTTCCAGTCCAAGAGTTCCGTGAAGCCTGCGTTTTGTTGCCAGGGGTCGGATAGCACTTGACATATGGTGTAGATGCGTTGACACCCCGTGGATCAAAGCTGAGCAAGTTGAAGTTCTCGCCCACGACTTGGCTGATATCCACACCCCAACGGTACATTAAACTCATACCGCTGCCTCCTGGCCCGCCGGGGTTGAGAAGGATGTTGATGTTGCCGTTGGCTGTGGCATTTTTGCCTCTTAGTCGAATAAGGGAGATGTTGAAATGCTTCTCGTTGTTGAAGCCATTATTGCTTGCGTTGAACTGATCCATGGGAACCAGCAGATTTCTGCATTCGAGTTGGTGGTCCCCATCTAAAGTAGGACTGACGGGGCATGGTGTCCAGGCCAGGCTTTCTCCATGGTACTTTTGCCCTTCGGTATGTTCATCAGATGTGGAATTGTGGGCAAATCCCACCGCCGCCAGACAACTGATCAAAAGGGCTAGTGCTCGCATTGTTGGGAATCTCGAGATTGTTCTGTAGGCCGTCAACTAGAATTTGTGTTCGCCTGATCGATGTCCACCCAGGAGCTGGGCCTCCTGGCAAAGCGCCATCCTTGATTTAACATGGTATTGATCTGAAAGACTTCAATGGGTCTTCCCCCACTGACTGACAAAGCGTTCATCTGTTGGTTGTTGCTGATGATATCAACATCGTAGCGAATCGACCGCATTGGGAATCCAGCTCGAAACCCTCCACCTGGACGGACAAAGTGCTCCAGTTCAACCATCGTGATGTGGGGTCTTAGCATTCCACGCTGGGAGGATTCGAAGCCTTACGCCTCTTAGCGAGGTGGGTGTCTGCAGTAGCGAATCCGGATGCGGAGTATGTCGTCTGTTTTTCCAACCCCAACCATCACGAAGTTTGTTAAACAAAGACCACACAGGCCCAATCAAGGCGTTGTCCGTTTCTCGGTCCGATGTCGTCGGGTTATTCTCATGCCGACTATCCGAAGTGCAATGGACTAAGCCTGAAAGTAAACAATTAGATGATGTTGGGCCAGAGGAAGCCCGTGGGGTGACACAGTGTCGAAGTTGAGACCAACAACATATGAATATTGCAAAGATGATGCAATTTATCATCGAGCAGAAACTTGCAGATCTGGGACATGATATCCGATGCTACAGAGCACTGTGTAACCAGGGCTTATGAATCTTTGCTGACGTGATGGCCATGGGGACCATGAGGGGCAGGGTGCCAATGGAAGTCGGGTAGGTGTCGACTGCGGGGCACCTTGCTCCAAGTGAGACATCTCCATGCCAGAGATTTGAGGACATCGGATCAGCGTGAAGATACTCTACCACAACCACCCATTGTTACACGACCTTGGAGGTTGGTTACGCAAGCTCCCAACAGTCTGCGATCCGCCGTTACACAAGCTTACGTCCACTGACCTGGTCTCTGGAACTGGCACAAAACACCGCCGGGAACAGCATCGATAGGTCCTTCGGATCCAATAGTATCTCCAACTTTGCAGCCGGGCTGCTGGTTGAATCCTTCCCTGCAGCAATGCAACCCAACGGGTCGGTCTGCCGAGGATCCCTTCACAGTCTCGGGCCTTGATCCAGCGGGACGGACAACCCCATAGCGAGCATAAGAGGCGACGCTCATACCCATCATGATGGATACCCGCATGCTGAGAGGCGAGCGAGACCCTGGCAGCTATCACCTCCCAAAATGCGCCTTTTCCGAGCTCTGGTTGTCGGCGTCCTGTTGGTCTCCGCGTCAGCGAAAAAGGATGAACCCAACTTTCCATTCGAGACCAAGCAATTGTCCAAGCGAGAGACGACAAAGCACCCGAATATCGCCTTTGGAGATCCCTCCTCGGTGCCCCTCAACCACGACCGACCGACATGCAAGATCGGACCCCAAGATGCGGCTTGGCCTACCCTGAACGAATGGTCAAAATTGAATACAACGCTCGGTGGCAGGCTCCTGAAGCCATCTCCAGCACCCATTGTCTGTTATCCAGGGCCAAATTACAATGCGGCTGCTTGTGAGTTCCTCGTCGGCGGCACGACCAGGCGCACCAGATTCTGGCTTGACGATCCCCTCAGTGTGCTCAGCCCCTGGACTCAGGGGAATACATGTCTGTTATCTGCCAACGTCAGTGGTCCTCTGAGAAGCTGCACACAGGGAGGATTTCCGGAGTATGTGGTCAATGCCACGTCCGTGAGGGATGTGCAGATAGCTGTCAACTTTGCTCGGAACAGTAATATCAGGTTGATCATCAAGTAAGCCATCACAACGAAACAGCGCAAAAAAAGAAAGCAAACTAACGGCTCCTCCAGGAACACGGGCCATGACTTCTTGGGTCGTTCAAACGGCTACGGATCACTAAGCGTGTGGACACATCACCTAAAGGGCATCGAATACCTCCAAAGCTACAAGGCCAGTCAATACAAGGGCTCAGCAGTCAGGCTCGGTGCTGGAACCGAGACCTGGGAGGCAAACAATGCCATGATCGCGCAGAACTTCACCATCGCCGTGCCCAAGCTTCCCACCGAGACGGTTGGCATCGCTGGCGGCTGGTTCCAAGGAGGTGGCCACTCCAATCTGGCTTCTCTCTGGGGCCTTGGAGCCGATCAAGTCCTGAGTATCAACCTTGTCACTGCCGATGGCAGATTCACGACGGCAAACAAGGACACTAACAAAGACCTCTTCTTTGCCCTGCGTGGCGGAGGTGGAGGCACCTACGGCGTCGTCACCTCGATCGTTGTCAAGGCCTCCAAGGGACTGATCACCCTCGGCACCGCTACCTACGGCTTCACTACAGGTCCAATTGCCCCCACGACGTTACAGAACCCAACCGCCAATATCACCAATACCCAAGACTTTTGGAAAGGGGTAGAGATCTACCTGGCCTTTGCGAAAAAGGTCGTCGACGCCGGCGGCTTCGGCCACGGAGACGTCACCTACCACGGCAACACAAGTTTCTCCTTTGTGGGAATATTCCTTATGCCCGGGTTCTCCGCAAGCAAGACTCAGGAGTTCGTTAACCCCCTGTTCCAGTCGTTTCGTGATGAAGCCGGCATCAACATCACCACTCCTGTCGCCACGGTGGTCACCTATGCTGAACCTGGGAATGGGACAAACACCGCGCCGGGAAGCGGTACTTTCTCTTCACGCCTTCTTCCCCGAAATAACTGGGCCAACTCAACCAGTATATCTCAGACTTCCAGCGCAATCAAAAGAGCAGTGGAAAAGGGCTTCAACATCCGCACCCGAGCCTACGGTCCAAAGCTCGATCTGGTGACAGGACCCTACGCAGCGAGTGGTGTGAGCCCCCACATGAGAAGTATGGTCATCCACCTGACGGTCTTCTCTCTGCTCGACGTGTCATCGCTCTGGGTGTTGGAGTCCACACCCGGTGAAGCAGCGAGCAAGTTCAAGGCAGAGCTGGCTAGGCTGGAGGATGCAACTGATGAGATTCGATGTGTGACTCCCGGGAGCGGGGCGTATTACAATGAAGCTGGGAGGTTGGAGCCAGACTGGCAGGAGAGTTTCTTTGGGGGGGAGAATTATGGGCGGTTGTTGAGGGTGAAGAGGGAGAGGGATCCTTGGGGGTTGTTTTGGGTTCATAAGGGGGTTGGGAGTGAGGGGTGGAGGGTGGAGACGGGGGATGGGTTGACGACGAATAATGGGCCGTTGTGTAGGGTTTGATCTGGGGTTGGAGGTGGGCACTGTCAAGGAGGTGGGAGGGTGTTTGGACTTGATGGGGGATGAATATTTTGAGAAGAGGTGGATGCCGGGGAGGCATGGGCTTGGAAACTGGATGCAGAGTTAAGCGCTGTGGTTCCTACAAGACGTTAGGTTATCTGTACGCGAGGAATAGAGGCAATTGATATGTGTCGTTTCCATTTACAGAACGGGCTGAATCTTAGATGAAGAAGCTGTCTCCTGCTTGATGCATGCGTCTTGAGCCTGACGCTATCAGCATGCCGAGATGTAGGACGCCGATATTCTGACCGGTCGCCGACGTTGAAAAGACAGCAATGATGCTTGCTTTCTTTTCGCCGAGACCATAATCGCTCAACCAAGGGAACGCAACCTCAAGCCATTCTCTTACCGAACGCCACCGGAAAGCCCGATCAAACCATATTCCCATCATCGACTATCCAAAGCGGAAACCTGAAGCGATTTTCAGGCCCGCGGTCCCGCCGTTGCCTTACCACGAAAGGGAAAAAAAACGGGGGAATGATACTGCAGCTAGAGCCTCCAGCTGAGTTCTTGTTAGGTTGTCTTCTGGCAGGGTTTGCCAAGTCTGCGGCTGGGGTGTGGTGTAGCGAGTCTTGGTCGGTGATACGTCGATCTGTAGGCTACGGTTACATTTAGGGGGTTTGTTGAGCTGTCAATTCGTTCGCTTCCACAGAGTCAAAATCTGGGGTTGGGCACTAGACTGCTAGGGGCAAGTTCGGAACCAGATGATACGGGTCGGAGTTCCTGGATCGTTGTTACATGGTTGTTGCTATTTCTGAGTTTCGTGCACGGTGAGGTGTTTGCTTGTGTCTTGGGTCTCGGTTGGGATCTTGGTTGTAAAGAGAGCGGTGGTTGTGGCTTCAACAGGCAGGCGAGGGAAGTATGACTTCGACAGGCGAAAGGGGAAAAACAGATGCAGAGGCTAAGGGGTCGGTCAAGGTCTGAGGGCGAGCGAAAGGGTCAGAGAGATCTATAAAAGATGTCTCCCCGCCCTTGATGACAGCGAGAGTCTCTCAGCTTCTCATCATCCACCAGACATCTACTTTCAAACCCTCTCAACTTTGTCCTACTCCTTTCAAAATTCAACATGCAGTTCCAGTACCTCCTCACCATCCTCGGCGCGACACTCGCCATGGCTGCCCCTCCCAAGGGAATCGGACTCGTCGATACCCTTCAGCCTGTTGACAAGGAAGGCGGCTGTGTCCCGGCCTCTTGCACATCGTTTGGTTGCTGCTCTGGCAATTGCGGATACTGGTGTGTAAGTATTGACCTGGATGACTTCTTGAAGTTTGGTCTCGGATGACTGACGGGTCGAATCACAGCGCGCGTGCGGCATTGATTACAGCTGCTAGGTTGGGGTTGTTGCGAAACTTCTTAAGGGCTTTGGAGGGCATGCGAAGGGGGTGGTTGTGTTGTGGCGGTTGGTGGTGTTTTGGGGAGGTTGACTGCTGGAACGAAGGAATTACAAGGGCTGCTGGTGGGCGTCTAGACCTCCAGAGCTTCCGTTGGACTTGAGCGCAGATGTTTAAATCCAATAAAGTCTCATTATACTAGGATGCCTGGTGAGGGTTATCTACGTGGTTCATCGTGAGCCTGGTGCTAGCCTGGTATCCGTTACTGGCTACAACGCCCCAGCGGGTTTACTCTCCGATATTCTTCTCCAGGCATCCGCAGCATCAATTGAGTCGCGACATTGCATCTTTATTCTCAGGCCCCCACCGACCCCCCAATCTTTCTGTACTTTTAGGCTGACATAACTCACGATTTTGAGACTGAATCTCGAATCACTTGTCGAACTGGGCGCAGAGATTCATGCCGCAGGACCAATATGGAAGACTTGGCGAGGGCTATGCAAGCCACAATCCGGGGGGTGTTTTCATGATCCCATTCGACAGCTTCCCCGCGCAAGTAAGGCTCTGCCCTGCTCAGCGTGGTGTCTGAGGGGACAAATTGTTCAGCCGTTTATTTCCCCGCGATCGTCCATAGCAGGAGACCAACTGAGTCCGCAACCTGTCTTCCTCGATCCAAGATCACAACCAACTGGCCTTTGAGGACTGATGAAAACATGGTCGATCTTTTACTGTTCACATTCCTTCTGATCAGGGCGGCTGTCGCGGCAAGTTGCGCGGATGGAAACACAATTCAATTCCGCGTTGGGAACTGTACAATCCGGTCGCCAAACGAGCCAGAGGTGCAGTCTTGGGGAGCCGAAGTTGCTCTTAACAATGAGAGAACGATATGGTATGTCACGACGGACCCCCCTTGCATTTGAGACATGCATGGGGAACATGCACCCGGGGATGATCTTCCCCTCTTTGGTCTTCGCTAACATAGCAAAAGCATGGTTCCTTCAACGGTGCTCAACGATACCTTCTTAACGACAACCAGTCTTTGCCAGTCGTCCGAGCAACTCAAAGTCCACCAAGTCGACATGACCCCAGCGCAGTGTGCCTCGAGAAGGGGAGGACCAGTTTCTGCCGACAAGTTCAAGGGAGTGCCACTCAGCAATCTGGTGCAGAATCCAGGATGGACCTTACTGAACAACACTATTGAGGGTGCCGTCGAGGTGAGCATGCAGCTGTCAAGACAGGCCATCACAACAACTGTCGGATTGATCACCAAAGGCCAAAACTCGGCAGCATCTCATCTAGGGCTTGCAACAGACTCATCCATCTTGAAGGTACTAAAGGGTCAAGGTTTGATCGTCGCAAGATCGTTTGGATTGAACGTTGGATCGCAAAGTGTTCAGTCGCCGCGAGGTGGAAGTCTTGTGCTCGGAGGCTACGACCAAGGAAGTGTTGCCAATCCATTCCTTCACGAATTTCCGATTCCGCAAAACGACAGACTCCAGGATCGGCATTGCCCCCTGCAGGTCGAACTAACTGGACTGACGCTTGAGATAAAGATGGCAAATGCGAGTGAAACAGAAAGCAGGGACATCTTCAGCAAATCAACCGGAATAACAGTCTGTGTTGAGCCGTAAGTATTAGTCCTCTCTTCAAGCAACAAAACGGTTAGCTAACGCGTCAAACACAGATACGACAATTTGTTCCGCTTGCCCTCAGAAACCCTCTCCGCTTTGCTCGGCTATGTGAACCAAACCACTGAACAACGCACCCACTTGGTACCAGTTACTGAGTATGCAGACGAGTTGGTGAATCTCGAGCCTGGTTTGGTCTATCGGAGATCATCTGGAGAGTTCAACGCGGCGCTACGGTTCACCATCAATGACAAGATGACAGTGGAGGTGCCATTTCACGAGCTTCAGAGACCATTGAGGGGCCTTGATAGCAACGGGGCTGCCGTTTTGAACACATCCTATAACGAACTGCAAATCTTTGGTGATCCAGCTCCTGGAAATGCGCCAGTCCTGGGGAAAGCTTTTCTTTCACAGGTGGGTCTCATCGTCCTTTTTTTATGACAGGGTTCTCCCTACTCACTCATGTTAGGTGTATCTTTTCGTCGATTACGATGCTGGAAAGTTCTATATGGCACCTCTGAACAGCGAAGCGGGTGCGGTGCTGCCGGTTGCGACAGGAACTTGTCCCTCAGGGGGGCTGACAGCCACCGAAAAAGGCCTTATCGCTTTGGGGGCCGTCTTGGGTGCTCTGGTTCTTGCTATTCTCGCATGGGCTATCTATAGATGGCGCCGAAGACGCAACCCACGCATCAACGGCACAGAGGCTCAAGCTATGGACCATGCTCCAGGTAATGCGACATCTGGCGCACAAAATCGATCAGTTGTGGGAACTGGTCAGTTTTCAAGTCGGAACAGGTCCCGAGAGATGCAAGACACACTGTCACAGAACTCGGCCGCGGGTGCGGATAGTGGTTTTGCCATTGGACATGCACCTTTCGGACATCTTTCACGGCAATCTGTGGAAACTGGACGGAGTTATGAGAGTCCACCACATAGGCCAACTCATACCGGGATAGTATAAGTGAAAACATAAGGTGAGATCAGGGAAGGCCATTTGCTTGCTACTTGACAGCTGGCGAATGAATCTGTGTACCTCTGAGACGATAACTTTAGGCATCAACTCCATGGAGTAAGGAACCCATGAGCCAACGAACTCTTGGTTTCATTTTGGGTGCCTGGGAATTGACGCGCCCGATCCAAACCAGGCCTTTTCGGGCATCCATGGGGCTGAGCCAGCCCGTACTGCAGCACCTCAATATACCTAACTTGCCCTTATATCACTGAGGCCTCCCCCCCTACCTTGCACATGCCGTGCCTCCTTCCCCGCAGTTTTCTCCACCATCCAGTACCGTGCTCTCGGGATTCAACAAAGCTTCCATGGATCCACTGACCATCACTACCTCGATCCTCACTGTGGGCGCAACCCTTCAACAAGTCATCAACCTTCTGGGCAATTTCACCAACGCCGGCACAAAGATCGCCGAGATACAAAGGGAGCTGAATCTCACCGCTGGCGTGCTGAATTACATCCAGGAACAGGAAAACAACAACAACTCTCCCCCGACGTTATCGATCGACGACAATGCAGGGCGGCCAAGCCGGAGGAGGTCTAACGCGGGCGTACACCTATCAAATATTCTACGGGACAATATCTCACAGTTACAACTCGACCTACAATGTTTTGCTGGAGAGCTGTCCAAGCTGGCGAAACCATGTTCGTCTGGGTCCAAAGTTGGAAGGGTTGTGGCCAATGGAAAGGTGGCGTGGAAGTTGTCCTACCTCGAAAAGATGCAACATAGCATCGTGAACAAGCGCAAGGAGCTGGAGTTCATTCGGAACAGTCTGGTGGTGTAGGTGTATCTCCGCTTGCTAGCATCATCGAACTAACATCGTTTCAGTGACAGGAGAAACGACCGCGCACCCTCCGAACGACGCAAATCTGCAGATCGAGTTGCCTCCGTTTTCTTTGCGCTGGCTCGCCAGTTCAACGACCACATCTCCAACACCCGTTTGCCTCCACCTAGTCACGATGCCCAAGAGATATTTGTCAAAGCAGTGAGAAGGAGGAAATGGCGTGAGGTTGAAGGGCTGCTCGAACAAGTACACCCGGACTTCACGCTGGGGTCGATGGAGGGCGAGCTGTTCCCCCTCCATGTTGCTGCGATGCTTGGAGATTTGGTCATGGTCGAGCTTCTCATGTCGTACGGTGCGACAGTGGATTGTCGCTCACAGGACAACAAAACACCACTCATGGCGGCCATCGAACACGACAAATCTGTAGTAGCCCTGGCCTTGGTACGTCGTGGAGCGGACGTAAATACATCAGATTCACGAGGACGGACCCCTCTGCACATGGCGGCCAGGAAGAACTCCAAAGCTGTTGTTCAGACTCTGTTGAACAATGGCGCCGATCCCAACGCATATGATATTGACGGCAATACCCCTCTCATGGATGCTGTTTGTCGCGAGGACAGGGAGATTCAACCAACCGACACAAGTGTACTCAGGGTTTTGCTTCAGCCAAACGGAAGTACTGTAGCAGCCGACCCAACTCTTGGAACCAAAAGCAAAGACTACACGCCGCTTCATCATGCAGCTGCTGAAGGATGGCTAGAGGATCTCCGAATCATTATGAAGCTCTCCCACTCTCGACGAGCCCAGGAGTGCTTGGTGCTTGATTCCAGGGGCCGCACGCCCCTTTGGTTTGCAGCGAAAAGCGGTTCTCTACAAGTCGTGGAATTCCTTGTCCAAACTGGCGCTGATTTTAATCGGCATTCCAGGGACAATGAGAAGCCGACAGTACTTTGGGCTGCTGCCAACAACGCTGCGACAGCAGAGTACTTGTTACGCTCCGGGGCCGACCCAAATCAACCCAACAACGAGGGCTACACGCTATTACACCGTGCATGTTGGTCGGGAAACACCATCCTCGCTGAATTATTGCTACGACACAAGGCAGATGCCACGGTCAGGGACAAGGACGGAATGCAGCCCCTGCACTACGCTTCAAGGGAAGGGCACGAGGCACTGGTCGAAATGCTGCTTCAAAGCAGTGGTATTGATATCAACTGTGTTGACAACACCGGCACCACTCCCCTCATGCTTGCTGCTGACCAGGGCCACGATTTCATCATCAAACTCCTTATCAGCTATACCCCTGCTGCGGACTTTAAACATAAGGATGTCTTTGGCTGTGACTCGTTCTACATTGCTTGCGCCAGGGGTCATATCCTCTGTGCAGCATATCTTCTGGGATGTGGCGCTGACATCAATACTCGGAATGCAAAAGACAACACTCCACTTCATGCTGCGGTCAAGGTTGGGATGAAGGATATGGTGGGCTGGCTGCTGAGGATGGGGGCTGACAAAGGGGTGATGTCGAAGCAGCCGTTTGATGGAATGGATGTGAAAGGGACGCCGCTGGAGATTGCGAAGTCAGAAGGGTTCGACGAGATTGTAGAGCTGTTGGAAAGTTGGGAGAGTGATAGGGGGAGGAAGGAGAGGTATACTGCTACCAGGGTGGCTTTATGACGGTATCTAGTCAGCCATAAAGTCAAGGCAGGTCCCTACAAAGGTCCCAGGCATACACTTTCAACTATATGTGAATTAGACGGCCGGCGAACCATATGCTGTAAATGCCAGCGAGTGTACAAGGGAGTTGAAAATGCACCTTATCCAGGGACCGTCTTCCTCGCCCGGACAACCCACCTCTCCTCAACACCTCCACCCTCTTCAACGACAATTCCACCACACCAAAACATACAACTTCAATTTCAACTACCGACTCTTCGTCCCCGAACTCCTACAGCCCATCACCAACCTCCACTCACGACTTCAGAATCCGTCCTCCCCACGCAGACAACCCACCGGTCCTCAACAACCACACACCCTTTTCAACTACAATTCCTCGCCACCAGAGTAACATACCACTTCGATTCCAACTACCAACTCTTCATCCTCGAACATTTACAACCCATCACAAACCCCCATCCCGCGACTTTTGCCGTCACAAACCCCCATTTCACGACTTTTCCCACAACCAAAGCCCTCACAATGGACTACCTCACAACCGCCCTCAGCAAAGCCCTCTCCTCCCTCCACCAACTCCAACAAGCCACCACCACCCGCATCACCATCACCAACACCACCTCCCCCATCAACATCCACAACCAAGCCCTCGAACTCCTCAACGACCTCTCCGAACTCATCAACGAGGGTAAGTCTTTTAAACCCACCCTTTTCCAGACCCACACAACACAATCATTAGTGCTTTTCTCCCTACCTACACAAGAGTTGGGCCTATTCTACCTAATTTCTAGTCTATTCCAGGGCCTGGAATTGTACTAGAACTAACTAAAATACCTTGATAGACTTGAGAATTAGTACCGGTGGGATCATGCCCAACTCTGCCCTACACTTCCATCTCTGTCGAGTTATTCATCACCACTTTTTCATATGTTTTGGCGCTCGCTAGTGCTTTTGTCCCCGCTCAAAAACGAATCATATCGCGAACAAACGCCTAGCTTCCTCGCTCTTGCAAGCAACTGGCGATGCTCGCGGAGGCCATGAGCAAACCGCGGTTGTGTCGCCCGCAGACGCGCCGGCCGGTCGTTTGTTAGCGGCCGAGAGGGAAAACGTCCTTGTCGTTTTTGACATTGTTGTTGAAGACTTTCAGCAATGTAGACTCATGGAGGTGACGAGGATGCTTAGGCTTGATCACGGCAAGGTGGTCAACACCGCTAGGATAGGGGGCAATCAACGGCTTTTCGCCGTGTAAAGGATGCGGATTTATCAATGGATTGTTCAATGATAACTTTTTGGCATTGCAGTAACCGAAGCATGCAGACCTAGCCTTTGTCCCGAAAAGAAAATAACGCTACCCATCACAATAATATCATCCTGTATTACGTCCATCGTTCCTCCCATCCTCTCCTTCAATAACAACGATTCATCTGCCCATCTTACTCCTCATCACCGATCCTGATTCTCCCCTCAGCGCCCAATCCATGGGACCACCATCCACCCACATCAACATTGGTCTCAGCCAACGAGCGATGGCTGAAGAGAAGCCAGAGACCAAAGACAGGCTTGGCGAGGATGTCGAGAACAGCGTAGATCAAGATCTCGGTATCAACAGTAGTGCGATGAGCGCCGTCAGCAATGCCCCAAACACTATTTCCAACAGTCAGCAACAAACTTCACAATCCAAGTCGTAGGGTAGACTCACATGGGATAAGCAGTCCACAACACAAACGTAAACAGCGCCAAAGAGCTAAACAGCCTCGTCACACCCCTCCCCTTGGCAGTCACAGTCCGAGCACCATGGAGAGCCACATGCCAAATAACAAACAGGTACGACACACACCCAATGGCATACCATCCCCACCTCTGAGTAGCTGTCTCACCCTGCGAGGCGAACAGTCCGCTCAACACCATAATCACATCAGCAATAACAGCCATGAGGGTATGAGCACCATCAATACCGGCCAACAAGGACAGGTCCAGCAGGAGCAGCGGCGTGGTGATGGCCCAGTCAACATATCTCCCCCAAAACACCTGACGGCATTCAGTGTATCCAACGTCGGGCACGTGCTTATGGTGGTCCTTGGCCGGGGTGCAGCTGAAGCTCGTGACGTGGCCAGAGGCCATGGCGAAGTAGCTGAGGGAGGCGGTGATGGTGATCAGGGTGGTAATGACATGGTAGAGGCGCTTGGAGATGGGGACGTTCCATGACATGAAGGCGAAGAAGCCCGAGGAGAGGACCATCAGGGCGAAGACAACCCATAACGTCCGGTGGCCTGTCTCGCCGATTTCTTGAAACTGTGGGGGTGTTGCTGTGCGATGAAGGTGTTAGTTCCAGATGTGGTTTGTGGTCTAGAGAAGAGGGACCTACGGATAACAGTGGGAATGGGACCGGGACTGTCTGTATGCGTCGGCTTGGCAGCTGCAGCGCCAGCATAGCCGTAGAGCATTTCCGCAACTTGATCGTGGTGGATCATCTTGATGGATAGAGAGTAAACCGGGTGTTGATATCGAGACAACACACTTTGTTGAGTGATAGAGAAGAAAAGTCCAATTGTTGTTCTAGACAACAGCTGATGGCCATAATAAAGCCCAAGAACACGGCCAGGACGCGAAGCATTCGCCTCCCCCCAACGGTTCGGTCATCTGGTGCACCACGCAAGCTCCCGATGTAAGAGCGACGTCATCTATTTGTCCTGTGGTTGGAGTTTCAGGCAACAGGTACCTCAACAACCCCGCAATGACCTACCTTGTGAGCAAGTACCTGCCCGTATGGATGCGGGGAAGGAGTCACGGAGTTCAAGATTCAACGGCCCGTGGCTGCCCACTTGTGCAAAACAACAAGGGCATTGAGGGGGTTGAAGGAATCCGATTTGATAATGGGAGAAATGCAAGACCAATGTTTCTGCATGCAATATCCAATGGCAGTGGGAGCTGGGGTGTGCTTCACCGAAGAAGAGCTCGGCCGCATGCTTGAAAGCTTGACTCTGCTGAAGATCAAGGTGTCTTTGCCGTGTTGAAGCGACAAAGTCCGAGAACTGGCTTTTGGCGGGGTAATGCCGATCTCCTGGTAGGTAGGTAGCTTGCTTGAACGTGACACCTGACAGCTTTCAATGTTCTCGCATGGACCAGCAACTTCGAAGCCAGTGGTTTCATGATGCTGAGCCTTCTCCCATGTTTAACAGATGTTCAACTGAATGCCAAGCTCGCTGGCAGCTCCAAGCTGTTTCGAGATAAATCTGACCAACAGCATCAGCATGATTGGTGAGAACAGCTAACTTCTGGTGATTTGTGGCTCCATCAGCCCCACAGCGGCCCTCGCTAAACTTTCAGACCAAGCAGTGATTGGCTGGAGTGTGATGGCCTGGACCGCATGTGTCCCCACTACGTCATACCATCCACAGGTCTTACGCCTTTGAGCTCCATCAAAGCTTCGAAAGAAGCATTGCACTCCGCCCCAGCGGGCGGCCTGACTGGCCAACAATGAACTGAAAGGGGACAGGACAGTCACCTATTTACCTTCTGCCACCTGCAGCCTCTGTTTCACCCTCAAACAACAACAGCAAGCCACCAAGGAACCTGATCCACGATCCCATCTCGATTTGAGATCCCCGACACTACTTCAACTTTAAACTTCAGATCTATCCAAACCATCAATACCTACAGCACCTCCAACATGTCTTCAACCACAATGAACTGCCCCGTCGTTGGAACCACCAACACCACTCTGCCCCCTTCGCACCCAGACATCGATCTGAACAAGCCAGGCCAGACCTGCCCTGTCGTCGGTGCTACAACGGACCACCACCACAACCTTCACAAGCACCCTCAAGTTCCCCACCCCGGACTCTCCACCGAGCACAACCACGACGATGCGAATGCCTGCCCCGTCTTGACGGGCAAGCTCGTCAACGAGCCCAAGAGCCAGCAAATGGATGATCAGGTCTGCCCTGTCGTAGGAACTGCCACCACGGTTCTCCCTCCCGATCACCCTTCCACTGAGGGCAAGGCAGGCGATGCTATCTGCCCGGTGACCAAGGCGAGGGTTGACCACCACAAGGGGAAGCTGCATGGGCACCCTGACGTGAGCCATGCTAGTGCTGGGGCTGTTTGCCCTGTTGCTGGAGTCAGGGCCTCCTAAATCATCAAGGAAGGTCCCAACTGTCTGGGACCGAGTTCGTTGATTCTGAGCTGTCACATCTTGCGCGTTTGCGGAGAGATCATTCATACTGGACTGCGATCTTCTTTGTTTAGCTACATGTATGAACCTGAGAAGTCACAATATGAATCAGATAAAGGACAACACTCGCAAGTTGCAACATACACATGAAATGAGTGTATGGGTAAAACATACTAGTGGTTATTGCATGTGTTAAGAAAATGAAAAATGGACGTACCGGGGTTCGAACCTGGGACCTTCACATAGAGCATTGTATCATTCAAACCCTTCCATCTGTCTTGCAACAGCCTCAGTGAGAGAACATTGTTTGCAAATGAGACGTCGTACCACTAAACCACACGCCCTGTCTTTTGTTGTTGTTTGTGTTATTACTCTTGCAGCTTATATGATTGCTACTCAACATCTCAGGGCTCAAGTTGGTCTGATGACCCCCCGTTGCTTAGCCAAGACATTGCACTCATGACATTGATCACAAGCCAACAATGACACGCACCAAAACTTCCAACAAGGTACAGACCTTGGGATCAGGCACAGAAGTTGACATTCCCATCTTTAAACAGGTCGTTTTAGGCCCAGGTCCACTGAAGATCATCCATCTGCACGTCACTCGCTTCCCGCATGAAATTACATCTCACCCCAAGCCTCAAAAAGCTGGCCAACAAGCCACTCATAAAACGGCCCGCTCCCCGTTTCAGCCCTTTGTTAACAAAAAGTCCGGGGTAGACAATGCATCTGCATGGCAAAATGCGCCAGCCTGCGCCGCTGGGGTTTCCTCAAAACAAAACGTCGGAAGCAGCTCTTGTTGGTCGAATTCCGGGGATCTGATTTGACGGTTTTTGTGAAGGACAACAATTAGCGCCGCAGGGCTCACGAGAGCAGCGACCCAAACGGGCGGGTGACCCTAATTTTAGCCCCCCGAAACAGGTCCCCGGGCCTGTTTTGAATGGGAAAGGTGCAATAGCACTGCAGGGTCTGAGGGTTTGAAGATGGGCCCAGGACGGATGACCGCTATTGTAGAGTTATTTTGTGAGTGTCATTATTCGGCTGTGGTGATCATCCGCCGACGGGTAGCTGAGACATAAGAGATAGCCCAGGTCAGTGGTCGCCGCTGGATATGACCTCGAGGTGTTGACATTCGGCTTGAACTACATCGTTGCAGTCGACCACGGCCTTTTCTTCCTTTTGTCCTTTATTTTCTTATCAAGAATTTTTTGCCCTGGTGTGCGTTACGTTCTTATCGTGTGTGGCTGCTGTTGATCACAGTGCACTGTTGCGTCATCGTCAGCAAATACCGAATCCTTTTGCATTGCACAACATTATCACCACCAACACATTTTCGTGGTTGTGCCAGCACACATCGACAAACAACCTCCCTCTCAAAATGTCCTCCTTCCACTCCCACCGCCTGTCCCTCCCGGACCGCACCCTCCGCAAACCCCAGAAACTGCGGTCCTCTCCCAAGATGGACGAAATGGAAGACATCGTGTACGATTCTCCCTCGTACACCAAACCCTCCCACCACGGGCCCCCCTCCCTCACCTCGAGCACCTCGACCCTGGTCCCCTCCGACGGCGGGTCTTTGCTAGACCACTTCGACCTCCCCTCCCCTCCCTCAACCCCAGTCAAGTCAACCCATCAGTACTCCTCTCTCAACAGCTTCCAGTCGCCAGCTCTCTCTCCCGACCTTTTCTCCTCCTCCCTGTCACCCCCTTCGTCACCAAGCCCAAGACGTGACCGCCACAGTGGTCGTCGGAGATCTCACTCGAGGAGTTCATCATCCTCGTCAGTGTCATCGAGCTCATCAGCTATGGAACTGGATGGTGGTTATGGAGGAGCGGATGGGGGTGTAGTCCCTGTTGTGAGATCGAGCAGACGGACGCCGTATTATCCCCCGAACTCGTCGCGGTCGGTGGACAGGGCGAGGGTGTATATGAATCGGGGGCCGCATTATGTCCCGAATTGGACGCCGATGAGCAGTTTGCCTAGGCATGTGCAGTTGCAGATTGAGGAGAGGATGGTGAAGTTTACTGCTTGATCTTGAGGCGGGCTGTGTGTTGGGTTTTCTTTTGTTCAAGGGGGTTTGGGTCGGTTGGCATTTGGCAGGTATGGGAATTGGTGCATTGCTTTTTGGGTTGGGTTAGGATGCATTATGGTTAGATGGTTGGGATGGGAACAGGGCTTTGGGTGGGAAAAGGGGCGTTTTGGGTATTTGGGTGTTTGATGGGCATAGGTAATAGTCTTTTTGACAGGGGGGTTTAACTTCGCTGTTCAATCTTGACGTTTGTATTGACTTGAATTGTTATGCTACGGTGCTTTGCCATTCTCTATTCTGCAAGTATTGTTGTGAGTTGAGATGGTACCATCCCGGTGCCGTGTTCCTGGTGTTCCCTTTAACTGACCTCTCGAATCCAACATCCAGTACTGAGACTCTTGGCAGTGGAAATACGGCAGTAGTATTTAGCCAGGCTATGTCTTAAGACATGAGAGGTTGTACTAATCAACGAAATCATGCCTCTTCACTGTCTCCGACGCTGTACCCAAGCACACACCTTACTAACCTAATTCCAGCCCTGTATGGGCAGTGATACTTCTCGTGTTACTCTGATAGTACCAACCCAAATTCAAACCCAGAATTCTTATTTTGACATGATTCATTTCTATGCTCAAAATACAGCAAAACCCGGTGCTTTCTGGTGAAGGGTATATCCTCATTGGCAGTCCTTCCTGCGCCCCTGAAGCAGGGCTAGCCACCAAGTACCAAGACTGCGGGCTTTGGGCCAACAAAACCGGCCTCGGTTAGCACTTATGGAATGGGTCGGGGAATTTGGAAGCAGTTGGTGCAAGGTTTGAAAGGTGAAACGCGTCACAGAGAGCTCATGGGCTCACAAGTGTGATTTTGTGCGATGACGTGTGTTGAGGCTCAAAGAGTGCCAAGCGCCGGTATTTAGGTGACATGAAAGAACATTTCGATGGTGGATGGGATGTGGCATTGTGAGTTGATTGCAATAGGTAACTGATATTGTATTGGTTGGAGTACGGGAGTTGGATAATAACCGCAAGGAATGGATGCGGTGTGTCTATGACAGCCTCAAGAACCAGGAAGAGGGAAACAAGAATTATGGGAAAGCAAGACGGTTCGGTGTGAGAAGGGGAGCGTGAGAGTTGAAAGATGTATTCGACCGGACCTTCATGGTCACTGGCAGAGGAGATGGCATTCCCCTTGCATCCATCGTAGGCGCTGTGAACCCCCAAGGCGCCAATTGCTTCCCTCTTGTTGGTGGACGACGGGTTTCAGTCTTGCCATTTTCTTCGGGAGGCCAGACAATCTTTTGGAACTTTGGCTTTCGGTTTCGTGGTGATAGCTTTCGTAGCACTTGGCGAAGCCCCATTGTGTGTGATAGAGAAAAGAAGGGTAAGCTCAAGTTGGCGATTTTTCGTGATGGCGCAGTGTAAGCCTTGCCGCGGGTGGATCTGCTGCAACATGGCGTCTGAGTGGTTATAAAGCATCTAAATATGATTTGTGGGTTAGCACACAATGGGTTGGTGTTTTGGTTGATGGGCAAGGCCAACAAAAGGACGTCCGTTTTTGGCTGCATTGTCAATTGTTTCAGGGGATCTGTACTTTGTGAGCTGCATTGTTGCATTGTTCGGTCCCAACTGTGGACACCACACCCCTTACCCGTGCGGCGGGGATTTTTGTGTACCTCGTTGGGGTCCAAGTCTTACCTGTGATCCCATTCTTAGACACCCTCGTTGGGCGGTCCGGCAGCTGCCGAATGGGTCGATGTTTACCTCCGTGCCGCAGTAATGGTGGAGCGGGCCGGGGTTGGCATCGGCCCAGCAAGCCGGGTCCGGGCGCAAGTCACCGTCCCCCTTGACCAGAGTCTGAAACAGGTAGACGAGTGGGCTTCAAACATCAAGCGGTCTACTGAACTGACGGGCAAATGCTGGGAATGTGACCGACACAGCCCGGAGATAGCTCTTTTACCCTGTGCAAAGCCCTCTGTGCACTCCGAGCTGACTCCGCCCGGACCGGTCCACCGGGACCGAGACCAAAACAAACCACGGTACACGTCATTGAGAGAGCCCCGTATTTGACCGTTCAGTCATAGTCTGGCACCTTGGTCCGGATCACGGTCGACCTGTAGTACACCCATACTTTCGACACAAATATAAGTGTGTGCGCGTACCCACCATCCGAATACTCGACGATCACTCCCTTCGCAATCTGTTTTTGACTCCATTCGGACCCTCAACGCCGTCGGTAGACCTGACGGACTCGCCTTGAACCAGCCATAACCCAGCCAAGACAGCTGCAGATCTCCAGATCTTCATTATCCCTGCCAGAGCCAAGACTGTAATTCAACAACACCAATCCAGCAATATTATGAACCGCTCACGATATGTACCGCAGCAGTCTGCATATACCGCTGCTCAGTTCCAGCCGTTTGGTCCCGGACCTGTACCAACCCCAGCCCAGATGCCAGGCATGATCCCGATGGGATACCCACAGCAACAGATGTTCGGTGGCAGCCCGAACCCAAATGCCATGGGCGCTTCGCCAATACTCCAGCAACAGCAAGCCATGTCTCCAAACGCTCTGTGGGCAGCCAACTTTGCCAATGGGCCGATTATTGAGGATCTTTGTGCGCCTCCACAGATGGGACTGCCAACCTCGCCACCCATGAACGCCCTTCCACCTCGGGGCATGCCAATGGGCGCAGCAATTCACCCGTCATCCATGCCGCAGGTACAGAATGTGTTTGGCCTCCGTCAACCAGGAACACCACATCCAGGACACGGTTTTGCGCCGATGATGCCGGGAGTGCCCAGCTCGCATGGTTGGATCGTACCCTCCAGGTTATGCTGCCCAGCCACAAGGAATTGCATGGTCGCATCCCCACCAGCTTCAGTTCCAACAGCTAGCTTCAGCAGCAGGCAGCTCAGACAACATGCTCAGCAGCAGCGAACAACAACAGCAGCACGCAGCAGCAAGGTCAGTTTCTGAGAGTCCAACGATGATGACTTGGGAGGCCAAGAATGTGAGCCTGGGTTTGCTACGGGAGGGAATGGTACCGAGCAGATGGGGTCGCCGTCGATGGGGAATTCGCCAGGTGCGCAGCCGTTGACGCCGGTGGAGAGTACGTTACAGGGTTTCATGTCGCCTGATTCGATCTAGATTATTGTGTCTAGGTGCTGGTCGGATTGTTGGCGACGACGGCTGGGCGTGAGAACGACGACAATGACGATTTCATGATCAAACATCGCATCAGAAGGAGCGTAGCATCGGTTCGGAAGGGAGGAGGGTATGGTTTGGAATTTCGTACTTGTCTGGGAATGGTTTCATTAGCGTTCTTGTCATCAGCGGGCGTATAGGAGTTGGGAATGGGTATAAGGCCTGGGAACTCCTAGAATATATTGTCTTATTAATTCCAACAAAAACTGTTAAATGAGGTTGTTCCGATCATGATGTGCCGTGCAGCCTGCAGGTATGGGATCCGATGCCACCAATAGGTGCCAGAGCGAGCGACCAGTCACAACGCTTGCTACGATGATGAACCCCGCCCACAGAGGCCGCCATCCCTCACACGCTCTCCCACTTCTGTGGCGGCCCGACGAAGTTACTGACAGTCGTCTACCTAGCCACCAGAGCAGATGGCAACACAATTGCAGTCGTCATGTATCTTGTCAACGTAGCAACAAAAAAGCTCGAGACTTTTTCGGCAGACGACATTCCGCCCTACGCCATATTGTCTCATACTTGGGGCAACGACGACGAAGAACTTTCTTTTCGCGATATCATTGACGGACTCCTCAAGCCTGGAACACTGGGCGTCTTCAAACTCGATGGCTGCTGTAAACAGGCCCAGCTCCACGGGCTTGGTTACGTTTGGATCGATACCTGTTGCATCAACAAGTCCGACCATGTTGAGCTGAGCGAGGCAATCAACTCGATGTTCAAGTGGTATCGCGATGCTGTGATTTGCTACGTATACCTTGCCGATACTACACCAAACACTCGCCTCTCGAACAGCCGTTGGTTTCGGCGAGGATGGACGCTTCAAGAGCTCCTGGCACCTCAGGAGCTGAGTCTGTATGGTTCGGATTGGACCTTTCTCGGATCCCGAGAAGACCTTGCAGTGTCGATTGAGCACGCCACTGGGATACCCGAAGGCTTCCTTTATGGAGATGGTGATTTTTACCGGGCAAGCGTCGCTCAGCGATTCTCCTGGGCATCAAAGCGAACCACCAAGCGCAAAGAGGACATGGCTTACTGTCTCCTTGGACTGTTTGACGTTTCGCTGCCGATTATCTACGGTGATGATCATGCTTTCGCTCGGCTTCAACGCGAAATCATGCTTAAGCTGCGCGACGATTCCATATTTGCCTGGTGAGAACAGCAAACAGGTGCAAAGCTCGTGTTTGACCTGAGCTAACCTATCAGTAGGGGTCTAAGCTACGAACATCCTACCAAGGAACAGTCACAGGACACAATTAGGGCATCTGCTGGGGCTCTCGCCGAGTCTCCGAAGGACTATGAGTACTGTGGGGCTATTGTCTCTCATGGCTCCCACAGCTCTCCGTCAAACAAGTTCGTCATCGAAAGCGGATTCCTCTGTATTACAACAACCACCTACACAGCTCAAGAGGGCGGTACCTACGGGCTTTTGAATTGTGGAACAAAAGATCACACAAGCGAGCATGTCGTTGGCATCCCTCTTCAGCACAGCACCTCTGGAGACTATTACTTTCGACCCCACAGCTACAGCGCCAGGATATTCCCTAAGCAAACGATGGATTCCAGAAGCGTTAGCCAATCGATTCACATTCAAATGTTTCGGGATCAAGAGATATCGAGGTTGTCGAAACCGAGCTGGTCGATCCGACTCAGGACATCAGGTTGTTTACTCAAGGTCCTTGAGGTATATCCTCCAGGGCGTTTACACGACAAACTGATCCACGTAGACCCCGACTTTGATTCCGCCGATGCTGTAGACCGGACCTGGGTACGGTTACAACGACACGGTAACGAGAGTCACCTGCTACCCGACTTCATTCTAATATTGACCATCACACGACACCCTGAAGACGTACAAGGCAGACTGACTTGCGCCCTTGCAATTTGTTCATGTTTCACCACCTTGAAAGAGATCGCAGACAATGCGCAATTGTTATGGAAGAGCATCTTCATCCGAAAGCAAGCCAGCAACGTATCTCAGCACATCGGTGCCGCTTTGTGGCGAAGCTCCGATTCGCTAAGTGGCCACCCAAGGATTTCTGTTGTGATGTCGGAGATTGTCTCACCCCCTGATACCACAATCGATTTGACTCAGCAGCTGTCGAGGGTCAGATTGCCAGACAGGTTTCTTAGCGCCTTGGAGCACGAAGACTGCCTCAATCAGCGCTTGGCTCGGAAAGGTAACGAGCTTGAAGCCAGAGAAAAGCAGCTAAACAAAACACGCGACATGCTGACCGAGCTCAATAAGCAAATTGAGAAGCTGGAAGCGTCAAAGAAGTCATTGAATGCCGAGGACCACATCTCTGCAATGGAGGTGGAGAGGTTAAAGAACGAAAAGAGCAAACTGGAATCGAAGAGATTCAAGGTGAGCTTGAATCGAACATACCTTGAAGGATGTCTGGATGAACACCACGACGGGCGCAATGAATGGCTTCGGAAAATCAGGCTACCCATTGAAAAAGGGGATGTAACAGCCGGCGATGACTCGTTTCTTGACCATCGGCTTGAGAATCTGGTCAGGCTTCTGATTTCCGTGGAACGTTCCGCTCCGTTACCTTCAACAAAATACAACCCACCCCAGGATATGACACCACTGGCTTATGCCATCCAAGAAGGCTGCTACGAGCTTCTGCAGCGGCTTCTTGACCAGGGCGCTGATGTGAATGAGATATATTCGAACGGCAGGACTGCCCTCTTGGCCGCAGTAATCTGGGATAAAGACATGGTGGTCCAGGAACTGCTTGAGCATGGAGCAATAGTTTGGCCGGCACTGCTATGGTCGGTTCAAAACTGCGACAGAGCTGACACACTCTCACCACTCCTCAAGCTAGAAGAGACGGCTCTTGAAGTGGATGCCGGGAGGTTTCGTATGCTACTGCTGCTGGCTGCGGAGCAGGGATCGAAAGAAATTATTCTAGAGCTTTTGTCGTGGGGCGAGGGCAGGCACACTTTCGATCTCAGCATTAAGTCGAATCAAGACGTTGTCTGGGCTGCTGCAGTCAAAAATCACGACTCGACAGTACGGACTCTCATCAAGCATGATTGCAGTCCGAATCCGTTGAGCTGCCAGCGCTTACTCCTTCGATCGGTCTTAGAGAATTGTGCCAGCCTTCCCCCGGTCTTATGGGAGAAGAAGAAGGCGGACATACACGCCAAGTACATGGGCGGCCGCAATCTTCTATGGTTGGCAGCAGACCGGGGGTACGATTCTGTGATTGGGTCCTTGGCGCTGATCCAAACAGTGATTGACCCTGGCAGTATGGGGAGGCAAATGACCATCGCAGACGATTTTGGCCAGAACGCGCTTTCCCGAGCTGCCGAGAATGGACATGTTAACGCTGCTGTCAGATTGCTGCTCTGGGAAGATCCGACTGTCAGAGATCATGACGGCCACACAGCACTTTGGTACGCCGTAATCAACGGACATGCAGATGTATTGCAGGCCCTGATGAAACACAAGTCCATCAGGGAGGATCTTTGGGAAATGGGAAAACTGTTGTGGTGGGCAGTCGAGACGGACCAAGAGCAAATGGTGGACGTTATCTTGGCCAATGACGGAGCTCTGGCCTTTCAGCATCGCTACCACGACCCTCATGCGCTTCTCTGGAGTGCGCTTGGAGAAGGTACTACCAGGATTGTGGGAAAACTCTTTGCATATCGAGAGTTTCAGGTTCACAGTGTCGAAATGCTCCAATATGCGGAGAAACACCGATATGATGACCTGGTCAAGCTCTTGTCCAACCCACTGACATTGGCGCTCCAAGGTCGAATGGTTGTGGTTGATCGGGTGAAGCCTGAGACGGGAGACAAAAAACAAGTGAGGTTTGGGCACCACGATGGAATTGCCAAGTTTGGAGGAAGTATGGTACCGGTTGAAACGTTGAGAGAAGTAGAGGATGAGAGCTAGAGCCCCCTTCACCGGAACTTTGGGCTCTCGGATATGCTGTCAAGGTATTAGGAGCCTGGTTCTGTCATTACGCCACAAGAATGTATTCATCTGAATGACATCTCGCACAACAGCACTCACAGACTTGACCATGATGGTATTTTTCAGCTACCTACAATAGCCATGAGCTCAGCTAGCTCTACCCTCCCCCATCTCAAACACGACACAACCTCCCATTCTGCCCAGCAGGGTACCCATCCGCCGTCGCAACCCTCCACTCCTCACTTCCCACCGTCGTCTGCGCCCAAAACAACCCCCACGGATCCCTCCTCCCCTTGATCTTCAATAGTTTCTTATAATTCACTCCGAAAAAGCTACCCTGCCAATTCTTCTCCGCCGGATCCCCCTCATTCATATACGACCCCGCCCCGGACGTCAACTGCTTGAACACATCGGTGTATTTATATGTGTGCTCATCATTCGCCTTTGCCTGAGCAGCTGTCCACCTAGCAGGGATAACCTCCATGAGCGCAGCAGAGAGAACAGTCTCCCTCCAGGCGGGGTGGACAGCACTGTTCTCACACCCGGGATACCCAGCCTTTTTGCATGTTGGGGCGTAACCCCAGCCGTGGAAGACGAGACCGCCTTCTTCAACGCCCGAGCGGATGGCGGCGAAGGTCTTGTTCCACAGGGCGGGGTCGACGAGGTTCTTGCGAGGAAAGAGGCGGGAGCGGTAGCGGGTGTTGGCTGGGTTGGAGGAGCCCGTTCTTTGGCCGTTGCCGGCGTAGAGGGTTGGGGGGATTTGGCCTGATGAGGGGAGGGAGACGGGGATGGAGAGGGCGTTGAGCTGAGTGTATAGGGGTTGAAGGGCGGCAATGGCTTCGGAGGCGGGGATGTTGGGGATGATTTGGTTGGAGGTAAAGGCGAAGCTATTGTTACCGAGGGGGAAAATGTAGCTGAAGCAGTAGCCGCCGAGCTCTTGGACTTTGAGGCAGTAGTGGTAGGAGATCTTGACGCCTTCCCAGAACTGGTCTGGTTTATTATTCATGAAGTTAGTGTTGGGGGGAGGTTGGCCTGTAGCGACTCTGATGGGGAGGGGGTAGGTGCCGTCGGTGGAGTTGCTTGGGAAGCCGATGTTGCCGAAGTTGAGGGGAACGGTGACGGTGTTGATGGGAGGGTAGGCTTTGACCACGACGGAGGTGATGACGCCCCAGGTGCCTGTTCAGTGTGTCAGCATACATAGGATCTCCCAAGAAGCCATTTCACGAAGACTTACTGCCACCACCACCCCTCAACGCAAACCACAAATCCTCATGGTTGAACGGATCGACCGTCAGAAACTGTCCGTCGGCAGTAACAACATTGATTGACAAGACCTGGTCCGCCCCAAGCCCATACTTGGATGTCAACGTCCCATGCCCAGCAACAGACACCCAACCCCCCACAGCACCAACCGTCCCCCAGCCCGGTCCAACAAGCGAGATATTACTCTTGAACATGTGGTTAAACAACTCAAAAGACTCGATCCCAGCCCCGACGTGCGCCGCAGGACCGGTGTACTTGCCCATCGTGAAGCTGGGCAGATATTCGAAGGTCTTGAGGTTATGTACCCAAATACTCAACGACCCAGCACCCATCGACCGTCCACCAAAGTCATGGCCGGTATTTCTACGCTCTTTGGTCAGCGATATACTACCCCATCCTCATCATCACCGCAAGACCACTTACTTGATCACCACCCTCAAGTTCTTATTCCTCGCAAAGTTCACCGCAGCCTGCACATCCCTCACGCTCGTCACATTAACCACATACTCTGGCCACCCACCCCTCTCACACTCCCCCGTGGCGTTAGCACTCAACACGCACGTGCTCCCCTGAGGCCACTCCGTCAGCGTCGTCAACGGCTCATCAAGCCAGAAGTGTGTCTGTCCTGCTTGGGTGGCGAGCCACTGGCAACGTGTCTGGTTTTGCAGCGGGCCAGGGTAGCACGCCGCCTGTGCTGGCTCGGGTCGAAGCAGTGAGCCGTTGAGGAAGTTGCCGAACTTGGACCATTCCGTGGCCGAAGGCCAGTCAGATGTCCCGGGAAAGGCGCGGCATTTGGGCTTGGAACGGACAGGTTTGGATGCGTCGCCGAAGGAGAGGGAGGGAAAAGAGCGGATGGAGGAGGGGGTCAGGACGGTTTTTTCGTAAGGGAAGAGGACTTTGGTTTGTTTAGCGGGTTTGGGACTGCCGGCCGCGGCGAGACCGAGGAGGGAGAAGAGGAGGGCAGCGTGCATCATTGGGACGTTTACCACGCGAGAACTTGAGTGCTATGCCGCTGTCTATGGCTGTGGGATGGTGGGCGGTGGGAGGGCATTTGTACGAACTTTTGTTATGAGAGCTAGGTACCAAGTTACGTGCAGCCAACAAACTCCAGCTGACTGCATATGTTGGTAGAGACAGGCATGCATTGGCGCTGAGGAATATTTGATCGGGGGATGGGATGTGTTGAGCTTGTCTCGGAAGACTTCCCTCGTGGCAGAAACCTCTTCAGGAAGGGGGTTGCATTCTTTTGTTGTGATGAACTACAGGACATAGCACCCTTGTCCGTCACCGGATTTGGCCCTGTGCGGTTGTTGTTTTAGCCCTGGAGGTGAGAGGTTGGGGGCTAGGATCACAATCCAGAATGGTCCCAGAAGGGAAACCCAGGCTGTGATCCAGCTCCGGTGCCCTGTCCGGGGAAGCTCTGGAAAGTCTCCCATCCTTTTGCACATACAGCAAGGGTACAATTCGCAAGAATAATTTGTCTCTTTCCCTCTTCCAACCACGTTCCTTTTGCCCTGGTCCTGGCTCGCCACGTCTGCATATGCACCTCATTCGACGGTTGGATGGCCACCTCTTGCAGCTTTCGTCACCCTTAATCAGCAAGGGCTGGATGGAGGTGTGAGTTGAGGCTGGAGCTCATTCCCGGGCTTTGTGCTTGCAGGGAGACGATCCCTTCTCCAAATTGTACTGCATCCCGTGACAGGGAAGCCATTTATTGTTCTATAAATTGATTCAATGTCGTTGGGTGGGTGGGAGAGGGGTTGTCAAGGTGTGACAACGCTACCTAAGACGTCGTTGCTAATTTATGCAGCAATAAATCCTACCAGAAGAACTAATCTGGAAAGCTTGTTGTTGGACGTAGGTTCGCTGTAGTCATAGCCCAGAACCGCGGGACGGCACGGAGATGGTGGGGAGCACGTCCGTTGGTCGGCCGACGTTAGAGTTCTATTGGTGTGCGCTGCGGGAAGGGTCGGTGTCGCTTAACGGGCCATAGTGGGTGAACTTGTAAATCCCTCTCCGCCATATACCGTCACTAGACAGGAATCATCTTAGCACGAGACGATAAGGGCTTGTTCCGCCTTGGTGGTCTAGCCAGGCAAGATGGCCCACCCCGCCCTCACGACAAAAAGCAAAGCGCCAAAAACATAGCATGTCATCTTGGCCCCAATGGCTTACCTTGGAGCTCCTCCTATCCCCGAATTCTGCCCAACTGATTAGCTAAAGAATAGGACCAAGTCCCGGTTCAGCAGCACTAAAAACAGTCAGGGTATAAAGTTTCCACTACACCTACCCAAATGAGGTCAGTCGGGTCTGGTGGGGGGGGGGGCGGGGGGGTTGTGAGATTC